ACAACACATATCTCTAGGCGCTGCTCCTTGACAACTACAATTTCTAGGCGTAGCTCCTTCACATATATCCTCCCTAGGCGTGGCTCCTTAACAACCCCAATCTCTAGGAGCGACTTCTTGACAACTACTGTCTCAAGGCGTGGCTCCTTGACAACACCTATCTCTAGACGCGACTGCTTGACAACTACAATTTCTAGACGTGACTCCTTCAAAACGACCACTTCTAAGCGCTAATCCTTCAAAACTATTATTTCAAGGCGCAACTCCTTGACAACTACTATCTCAAGGCGCGGCTTCTTAACAACACATATCTCTAGGCGCGAACCCTTGACAACTATTATCTCAAGGCGTGGCTCCTTCAAAACTATCATTTCAAGGCGCGACTCCTTAACAACACATATCTCAAGGCGCAAACCCTTGACAACTACAATTTCTAGGCGCGGCTCCTTAACAATAACCATCTCTAGGCGCAAACCCTTGACAACTACAATTTCTAGGCGCTAATCCTTAAAAACTATCATTTCAAGGCGCTACTCCTTAACAGACCCCATCTCAAGGAGCGACTGCTTGACACCTACAATTTCAAGGCGCTGCTCCTTGAGATCGAGTGAATATACCTCGAAAAACCCAAAAAAAAAAATGAAAAAGTTTTGTTTTCATCCAAAATACAAAAAAAAGTAGTTCAAAAATTGGGTCAAAAATGCTTTGTATGTGTTGTTTTCCTTTGTTATCAGTGGAAAATTGAGGAAAATAATAAAGGCACGCAGGTCGTAAATTAATTTGCAAAGTTGTAAATTTTTACGACCTTATTAGTGTCTCATAGAATTAGTCAGGAGCAAAAAAATACAGTAGTCACGCAAAAATGTTGTTTGTTTTGTTATTTTTCAGGTTGTGAAATGCCGTGACCAATTTCCTGATTGCACAAAAACATATGAATAATTGGGGAGAAAAATCAGTCATTTTTGAGAAAAAAAAGGGAAAATTAGGGATTTCTGAGAAAACTACCGTAATCTTAGCTACAGTATTGCTTTACAGTAGGAATTTTAGAAAAGTAGGGATTTCTGGAAAACTGTAATTCACGTTCCAGATTACTGTAGTTAGTTCCGGGGTTACTGTAGTTAGGTTCTTGAGTTTCTGTAAATTTCTGAACACTCAAGCATCCCAGGATTACTGTAGGCTAGACAGATCCAAATTTCTTTCTAGGTTACTGTAGCCCTGGACTACTGTACATAACTCATTGAAAAATTGTATTCCAAAATTACTGTAGATCAAAAACTTCAGGTTACAGTACTCAAGTTACTGTAGTTCAAGAAAATTCCTCTGGGATACTGTAGATTACTGTAGTTCTCGAAAAATTTGAAAAATCGAGCTATTTTTCACTACCGTACCCTTTGATTACTGTAGTCTTCAAAAAACATGAAATTTCTACTTTTTTCTTCCAGAAAATTACTGTTCTTCAGGTTACTGTAGTTGATTGCTGTACAGTACTCCCTAGACTACTGTAGATTACAGTAATTCCAAATATAATTTAAAAAATAAAATATTTCCACTACAGTACCCCTAGACTACTGTAGAGCCCATAATTTCCTGGTTTCACTTAAATTTTCAACTGAGACATGTGGAAAATCAGCATTTTTCAAGGAAAAAACTACAGTACTACAGTACTACAGTACTACTAGGATTACTGTATATCTATAATACAATTTCCTTTTTTTCTAATTTCTTCCCTTTTCCGGCAAAATACACATAAATGGATAGAAGGAAAGTGCAAACAGAGAAAAGTCCAAAAATATTTAGGTCATTCCAATTTTGCCTATTAGTTAGTAGTCAAGGAGGAAAATGAATGGGGAGAAGTTAGGCTAACTAAGGTAAGTTAGGCTAATTTCGGGGGTTTGGGGTGATTTTTGTTGGAAAACTATGGTTTTTGAGCTATTTTTGATGAAAATTCGTAGATTTTCAGCGATTTTTCTCGAAATTTCCCACCAAAAATCGGCGTTTTGAAATAGAACAACAAAACATTTTTGTGAAAATTCGACCTTCACAAACTGTTTCAAGGTCTGATAGTTATATATTGCTTCTTTACTATTTTCCTCTCCGTTTTTGGTGAGAAAAAAACGTTTAAAAATAAGTTTTGAATCGATTTTTCTTGAACTTTTTGGATTTTTTTTGGTTTCCAGGTGGTTTTTTGAATAGAGGCATTTTTTGTCACTGAACTGTGTCCAGCTGGGCGGCGAGATTTTTTTTGAGAAAAAATTTTTGACCCAGATTTGGTAGAGTTAGCCTAACTAGATATACATTTTTAAGGATTCTATGGTGGTTTTTTGGGTTAAACTTTCATGACTTATCCTAACTAGCCCTGTATTTTTGAGGATTTTTAAGTAGTTTTTTGGCCCCTGATTTGGTAGAGTTAGCTTAAGTAGTTCTGAATTTTGAAGATTTTTGGGTGATTTTTAGGCTCAAATTTAACTAGATTTTTCTAGATTTATCCTAACTTGCTTCAATTATCGAAGGATTTTCAGATAATTTTTCTGACACAGACTCTTATGAGTTAGCCTAACTATATCAGATATTTTTTCAAATAATTTTTATATATTTTTCAAATTTTTCAGAATTTTTTATCAATTTTTCCCTAAACCTTCCCCAAAAAACTCACCAATCGCTTCTATTTCTCAAATTCCAATCAAAATCCTCAAGTAATCCAATATCCTCACATTTTTGACATTGAAATCCAATTTTCCATCGATGTTTCGAGCTGAAAATCAGAATATTTGAATTTTTCATGTTTTTTCAAGTTCTGCTAAGTCTATTTCAGTTTCTAGAGATTTTTCAAGGTCTCACAACGATTTTCCAGCTATTTTTCAGAGTTTCACCGCAAAATCTTACCCAAAATTCATTTTTCATCGATTTTTGAGTGAAAAATCCAGTAATAGCGCGATATTTTTCATGAAATCCGGCGTTTTTCATGAAAATTCACAACTTTTCCAGCAGTTCCTTCAATTCTTGTTCAAAAAATCGATAAATCCAGCTTGCTCCAAGGTTTTATCTTCAGAAGCATGAATTTTACATGAAAATCATGCGAAAATCCCAAATTTCTTCAAATTTCCATCAAATTTCGCTCAAAATTCAATCAATAATCGGTTTCCGCACATTCAAAATCATCTTTGAACCTGAAAACTCAAAAATTTCCATCAAAACCGATTTTCTCAAGAAAAAACCCACCTTTCTTCGATAATCCTCGAATTTTCCACTGGAAGCGATAATTTCAGCCTTGCAGAACATCTGAAAATTCAATTTTTCACTGAAATACACTGATTTCCCTCGGAAACCCAAAAAACGCGCGAAAAAAAACGAAAAACGAAAAAATGTCCTGTTGCGCTAAACAGCGGGCAAGCCGGAGTGTCGTTGTAAAGTCGATAAATTCTTTCAATTCAATTTCTATTTTTTTTTTGCCAAAAATCGCGTTTAAGATTTTTCCCTTGTAAAAACTCACTGTTTTGTAGAAAACTAGGCGTGAAAAATGAGCAGCTTCTGATTTTTTTCTGAATTTTTTTTGAATTTTTTTTTTGTTGCTAGAAATAATTGGGTCACGTTTCAATACCATTTTTTGCACTTTCTGACTAAATTTTCATGAAATTTCCGAATTTTCCCCTAAAAATCCCAACTTTTTGACTTTTTACCCTGCAAAATGTTTACTTTTGTCCAAGTACCATCATTATTATTATTACAATTTCTATTCTTCTTTTTGTAACCCCATAACAACAAATAATAACAACTTTTTCATTCGCATTTTATTTGGCCGCGGAAATCGTGCGTATGAAATTCTCCTTGAATTTGACCTTTTCACAGATTTTTGAAACGTGATAAACTTTTTCTATGTTTTGAACTTACCGAAAATCAATTTTTAGTCAAAAAATTTTGAAAATTTCTATTTTTTCGGGTGTTGCCCTATAATTTTCGGCGGGTTGGTCGTAAAAATTTGTTGATGGAATTCGGAAGCAAAGGTTAAATTATACCTATACTATTTTATGGTTTTCTTTGAGAAGAAGATTTTTTTGAAGACTTTATTTTCAGCAAAAGTCATAATTTGTACGTTCCATTCGCAAAAATTTTCGGTATAATTTTCATAGTCGGCATTTTTTGTGAGCAATTTCGCATAGCCACAGGTGGATGGAGTGTGACCCACGGCGGACCCACCGAGGATCCACGGCGATTTCATCCGCCGTGGACTACTGGTGCACCAACGGCCTCACCCACCGTGGGTCGGCGGTGGGTTTAGATTATTTGTTACTTCCCTTTCCCTTCACTACCCAAAAAATACAATTTATGCTCAATAACACGACCATACAAGGTGCCCGTTGAGTCAGACGCGAGACGACGAGAGTATTTTGCAAAAATATCTCGAAAATGAATGTCGCTTCGAGATATTTTCAATAAAACATGTGTTCCTTGAAACAAAATACGGTATTTTTTCAAAGGGACACATATTTTCTCAAAAATATCTCGAAGCGATGTCTTTCTCTGTCTCAGATGACGTCATCAGACTCCCGTCGTCTCTTGTCTGACCCGGGGGGCAATTTTCTATTGGAGTAAATGGTCGTGATAAAAAACATATTTATTCTCATTTAACAAGAATCAGAGAATAAATAAAAATTTATTGATTTCCTGGTTGAGTTTCGGGAGCCAGAGTTGCATAATCCTGATCGCATAACGTCTCGCTCTGTCCATATCCTCGTTCGCTGTTTTTCGAGTTGGCAATATCTGTAAGAATTTTATAAGATGCGCGAACTACAGTTTTGGATTGAAGGGTTGGGTTTAGGCTTTTAGATCAGAGTTTTGAAAATTTTGTCAGAGTTTTTGATGGATGAAGTGACATTTTCTGCCATAAGTTGATCAGGAGATCGGCATAGTAAAGTGTTATCTCTTTCTCTGCAAACTTCCGATTAAACAGTAGTTTGCAGGTACTTTATCACTTCTTATATTCAGATTACAAAAAAACTGACCTAAAAAATATTGACCATATTGAGCGAAGTCGGTGATTTATGTTCTTGGTGAACGCTAGTCTTCCAAAATTCATCCAAGTCGGTCCAGGCGGAGGTAAGATTGACTGAAAAATATATAACTGATAAATATATAAAATTGTTAGAATGTTGAATCCTTACCATTAGTTCTGAATACTGGTAGCCGAGAAGATGTTGAGTCCAAGTGATAGAAGAGCTGGTGAATCTTCCAATGTCTGCAATGAAATAAATAATTGAAAAAATATATTTCAAAAGTCGTTTATTCAAACTTACATCAGGTGGTACCAGCAGACCCATCTGAATATACAATTTGTTTCATTATTTTCTTCTGTTTTTCCGGCTCTCAGCAGTGCCTCGTTGTAGACAAAGTCACGAACTATGAATCTGCAAAATTATGCCAAAAATTAATGGTAAGGAGACGAATGTAGAACAAAAATCAAGAAAACCTTGGTTTAAACAGAGTATTCGGTGAAAATAATGTAATTGAAAAAAATAGAATATTTTCCCCTAATATCCTAAAATTTGCTACTTTTACATACTTTTTACTTCTGAAACTATATAAGGACTACTTTAAATATCATTTAGTACTATAACCATGAGCAGGTGATGGGAAAATCCGCAAAAAACACCAAAAAACATAAAAAAAACGTTTGGCCCAAAAAAACGAAAAAATAAAAATAAGTGCGCGTCAGATTAAATGCCACTACACACATCTCGAACTACAGTACCCCAACATTTTGCAAAAATTCATAAAATTATGGAAGCAACGCTTTAAAGTTGAAAAAAGAGATGAGAACAGTAGAAAATCAATTATTTAGTGAATCTGATCAAATTTATAGAGTTTTAGAACTAGTTTTGATGTTTCATAACATTTTATTTTGGTCCTCTGCTATACAATGTGTGTCTTCACCCTTGAAAGTGAGTAAGAACTGAAAAATGATTCTATAGCCAATATATTCTCTTTTTACACCATCCGAGGCATAGCGGAACTCTTAAAAATACATTTAGTTCATTTAACAGTTTTTTATAAAATTCTTCCAAATTCTCACCCACAGCGGACCCACCACGTATCCACCGTGGGTGAATTTTCCACATTGGTCCTCGGTGGGTCCGCCGTGGGTCACACTCCATCCACCTGTGTAATAGGGTAATGAGTCAGTTTATACTTAGGATTGACTATAGTCTTACGTTTTGGACTGGCATTAGGCTTAGGCCAGCCGCTTGGTCTTGTGTATTTGTGTATTGATTCTGAACATTTTCAAAAAACACACAAAATTAATTATCTCAAAAGTTAGACTGCCCTCTAACCCCCAGGGAATTTTCCTCTTGTCGAAAAAAAAAAGTCATTTTGTTTGTCGCACCCGCAGATTACTAAAATATTCATCATTTTCCAGTGTTCACTTTTTTCCTTTTTTCACCAAAATGTATTTTTTTGCACTTTCCTGGATAACTTTTGCATATTGTTCTAACAACAATAATTTATATGAGCTTTATAAAGCCCAAGACCGTATAGGTCTTACAGTATAGTACAGGCCGTATAGACCGTATAGGCCTAAATTTGAACTTGTAGTCCAATAAACGAAATTTTGTTACGAATTAAAAGTTCCCAATACCCTTTTAAAAAATTTCTTGTGTCTCTCAGAACCTTGTCCTATTTCCGGCTTTGAGTCTAAGCTTAAGGTTATTCCTAACCCAGGGTTAGGGCGTTAGTAACCCTAACCTAAGCTAATTCTTCCTCTTGAATGTTCTGTTGTTGACTTCTGTTGATTTCTTTTCACCTGAAACCTTACCTTATGTGCACTTTAACTTTAGTCTAGTCTAGGTCCACAATGTTCTAAACCTAAGCCTTACATATGATCTGGACTTAGGCCTAGGCCTAACCCCCCCCCCCCTCTGTTCCAAAATGACCCCCCCCCCTTTTTTTTAAAATTTCCCGTTATTTACACCTTTTCCCACCCTCCAACCTTAGCCGCCTTCTTCCTTTTCTCATCTTTTTCATCTTGTGTCTTTTTCCTACCAACCAACCCGATCATTATCTGGGCTGTCCGATGTGTTGTTTTTGACCTATTTAAAGATATTATTCAAATTTGCCTGAAGAAGAAGAAGAAAGAAGGAGGGAATAGAAATTATTGCGCATTATTTTCCCTTTTTCTTCGTTTTCTTCTTCATCTTGCGCAGCCTGACTCATCTCTTTATTATATTATTATTATTGTTGTTGTTAGGAAAAGGTGTATAATGTGGATATTATTATGATGATTTTATGTTTGTTTTTGGAAACTAAAGTTTTAATGGGTTTTATGGAATTTGGTGGGAAAATTTTGGAATTTTTTGAAAATTTTCACGCTCAAAACCCCTCCAACCCATATTTTCTCTCCAAAAAAATCCACTGTTTCAATATTATATTTTTAAAAACCGTTCACATGTTTTAAAGTTAATTTATCGATGATATTTTTTCAAAATCAATTAAAATTGTTTATTTAAAACCCCAATTTTCCAGAAAATTAAACACAACATTTTTTGACTAAAAAACCTAACAATTTCATTGTTTAAACCAGAAAACTTGAAATTCTCTTGATTTTTTGTGTCAGAAAAATTTCACTGTTTCAAGAGAAACACATTAATTTTTGTTGATTTTTGAAAAATATTCCACCGTTTGTTAAGTTTTGTCACAAGGATTTTTCACTGTTTCAAAATTTTTATTAAAATTTTTCTATTTTAAAAATATGTTTCTTGCTTGTTTAGTGCGAAATCTAATGGGGTGAGTCATAAAAATAAATTGACAAAAAAATTGCGATTAATTTCACGTTTTTTGTCAATTAATCGCATTCATTTCTGAAAAAATGCGATTAATTGACAAAAAACGTGAAATTAATCGCACTTTTTTTGTCAATTTATTTTTATGACTCACCCCATAATTTTTTTCAAAAAAAAAATAATCAATTTTCTGTTCCAAAAATCCTCTCAATTAATTTTTCCTAATTTTGGGTTCTGAAAAATTTCACTGTTTCAAGGAAAAAATATGAATTTTTCTATTTTTTTGAAAATCGTTTCATGATCGGTAGTTTTATCACTAGAAATTCCACTGTTTCAAGAAAAATTCTTGATTTTCTCTCAAAAATAAGAATTTATTCTTCTGAAATTTCGAAGTCAATGATTAAAAAATCTCACTGTTTCAATCAAATTGTATTAATTTTTCTAAATTTCCAAATATGTTAGATTGTGTGGTTTACTTTTTAAAAATCAAATTTTTTCCTAGAAACAAATTCACTGTTTCAAGAAAAAAATATGAATTTTTCTATTTTTTGAAAAATGTTCTGTTTTTTCCGAAAGGTGTAGTCTGAGCAAGAATAAGTAATGCTCATTTAGAATTTTTTTTCAAAAAAATAATCAATTTTCTGTACCAATAATCTCCCTAAACCAATTTTTCCTAATTTTGGATTTCAGAAAAAATGCACTGTTTCGGGAAAAAAAATATGATTTTTCTATTTTTGAAAAATGTTATTTTCAGTAAAAAGATTTTCTCTCAAAAATAAGAATTTATTCTTCAGAAATTTCTATGTCGATGATTAGAAAATCTCACTGTTTCAACCAAATTGTATTAATTTATTCAATTTTTCAGATATGTACCATATCCGGGTTTGTTGGTAAAAATCAAAATTTTCCTTCAAAATACCGAAAAACAAATTCACTATCGCACTATCCTCAAAAATCAAGAAAATCTATATTTTTTCCTTGAAACAGTGAATTTTTTGTAATTTGAAATGAAACGTATTGGTGAACTATTTATTTTTAAAACAAAAGAAATTAATAGTTTTTCTTGAAACAGTGTCAAAATTAGGAATTTATTCTTCTGAAATTTCGAAGTTAATGTTGAAAAAAATTCACTGTTTCAACCAAATTGTATTTATTTACGCAATTTTCCAAATATATTCGTTGTGCGTCTTTGTATTCAAAAATCAAAATTTTCCTTCAAAACTCAAATTTATTCTGAGAAACAACTTCACTGTTTCAAAAAAAAATCATTAAACGTTTTTTTCCTAGTTTCTAGAATTTAGAATCAATACGGAATAAATAAAATAATTTCAAAAAAAAATCACTGTTTCAACCAAACAACTTGATTTTGTTTGAATTTTTTGAAATAATACTCTCAAAATTTTCTCGAACTAAAATTCACTGTTTCAATAAAAAAAAATAAATTTTTTTTCAATTTAAAAAACGCTTTTCATGCTTTTCTCTTCATAAAATGCCTCGAAAAATTCACTGTTTCAATAAAAAATTCATTTTTTTCTACTGCCCGCCAAAAATTCTACACCAATTTCGCCACACCTGGCTTCCTCTCCTTTTCCCTACAAAAATGTGACTCCCTTTTCTTCTGTTTTCAAATAACCTTCATTAATTCCAAAACCTCCACCTCTCTTATTTTATTTCATTTTCTTTCTATTTCACCTTTACCCACCCACCCTTCCTTCACCAATCGATCAAAGGAAATTTCGAAATAGGTGGGGGGCAAAAATAAATCCGGTTGTCATAACAACTATTTTTGCCTGCCACCCTGGTTTCCACTCTTTTTGTGCAAAGAGCTTATTGTTGTTGTTGTGTTGCTCATATTATAATATATTTATTTACGTTGTGTGTTATTAATTTTTATGGATTTTTGGATTTTGTTTTGAAATTTGAACAAAAAATTCACTGTTTCAAGTGAAAACTTTTTAATTTTTGTTGATATTTGAGAATTGTTCTTGGTTCTAATCAAAACTCAAACTCAAATTAGAAAAAAATTCACTGTTTCAATGAAAAAATATAGATTTTCTTGATTTTTGAGGATAGTGCTGTGTGCTATCTCTTAGTACTTAGGTTATCAAATAACAAAGAAATCTACTGTTTCATGGGAACATTATATTTTTCTGAATATCTTTACTGAAATTAGCATATTTTTTTTTTGCTTGTGAATCGTTTTGCAAGAATTTCAATATTCAAAAAAATTAGTTAGAAAAAGTTCACTGTTTCAAGAAAAAGTTTTTAATTTCTTTTGTTTTTAAAAAATAGTTCGTTAATTTTTTTTAACAAAACTTAGAGAAAATTTCACTGTTTCAAGGAAAAATTAATAACTTTTTTTGATTTTTGAAAATAGTACCTTTTTTCATTTCCTGCAATAATAAATGTCACTGTTTCAAAAATTATTATTTAAAATTTGAACGTTTAAAAATTAGTTAACAATAATTTTGGGACTTCAAAAATTTAGTTGGAAATATTTCACTGTTTCAAGAAAAATTATTAATTTCTTTTGTTTTTAATGAATAGTTCGTTAATTTTTTTTAACAAAACTTAGAGAAAATTTCACTGTTTCAAGAAAAAGTTATCAATTTTTCTTGATTTTTGAAAATAGTAAGACTTTTTTCTACATTTCAGTTTGAAAAAAATTCACTGTTTCAAAATATTTTGTAATATTTTTAGAGTGTTTCTTGGGAATTGCAGAAACTTCTTGAATTTCGAAAAAAGAATATTATATTTGCTGAAAATTTTTGGAGAATCTTCAGATCTCTAGAAAATTAATGAACATTTTTTGAATCTGAATTTTTCAAGTGCACAGGTTTCAAGAAAATTGAATTTGAGATTGTTTCAGAGATTTCGGGATTGAAAAATTTCAATTGAAGTGGAAAATTATCCAAATTTTCACAATTTCAATAGGATATTTTTGTCTGAAAATAACTTTCAGATTTAAAATTTCGCAATAATTCTGAGAATAACTCTATCCAGGTATTTCAAAATACTACAAAAAAAATCAAATTTCAGTTTTCTATTTTTTCCAAATTTCCTCAACCTGTTTCTAATTTATCTTGATGATTTTTCTTTCCAAAATTTTTTATTTTTGGAAATTTTCCCATTGTACAAATTCATATATTTATTTAAATTTCTGTTTGATTTACATACATAAATAAGTGATTCACATCAAAACCCATGTAAAATTCCAGTTTTTTGAATTTTTTTGTAAAAATTATTGATTTTTCTGTGGAAAAATTGAGAAAAACCCCTCGAAGCATGAGAAAATTATCCATTTTTCTTCTATTTTTCCATTTTTCCCCACAAAATTTTTTTTTTATGACCAAACATTTTAATCGTTTTTTCATCTCTCAACTATCCTCCCATCTAAATAACTGTCATTTTTCAAGGTAACCTTCTCATTTTTCTAGTCGCCACAAAAATTTTTTTTTTTTGACTTTTTTCATTTTATTTTATTAGGTTAGGATAGGCTTAGGCTTAAGCCCAGGCTTATCCAAAAATTTTTTTGGAAAAAAATTCATGGAAAGCCTGTTTTTGGGGGTAAAAAATGTATTTTTGAATTTCAAAATTTTGTGCAATTTTAATTTGCCACGTGGCAAAATTAGCAAAAAAATCCTATTTTTAAATTTTTTCCCCAATTTTTGGAAAATCAGTTTTCTGAATTTTCAAAAAAATCTACCGATTTTTTGAAACCAAATTAGCTACTGTAGTTTTTGGCGCCAAATTATTCTTCTTCTTAAAATTTTGAATTTGATCTACAGAAAGTCTAGATCAGAGTACTGTAGATGCTTCGGGCCAAAAATTATAGATTTCGAATTCCAGAATTTTTAAGCTCTTGGAAATTTCTATTTTATTGAAACCTAGCTTGGGTTACTGTAGATTTTGGCACCCAAAAACTGAATAATTTTGAAATTTGAATTTAGCGCCTAAATAATTCCACGTGGAAAATTCAACGTGAAAAGTTTTGGCGCCAAAAATGATTCAATTTATTTTTCTGCAAAATTCTCCCTTTTCAAAACAAAACCAGTTTTTTTTCTTCATTTATTTATTGATCATTTGACTTTTCTTCGATTTTCCCTTTTTTCCTTTATTTTTCTAAAAATCTTGAATTTTCAGACCATAAAATGGGTAGTACAATAGCTCAAAAAGGGCTTTTAGCTTTGTCGATAATTTTCATTTTTGCTGGAATTTGTCTGACTTGTGGAGGTGCTTTTTCACCGGCTTGGCAAGTTGTCGATATTCGGGAATTCAGGGCTGAACATCAGGTGAGTGGGGAGGTTAGAGACGCAGAGAGAGGCTAGAGAGGCTAGAGAGGCTAGAGAGGCTAGAGAGGCTAGAGATGTTAGAGAGGCTAGAGAGGCTAGAGAGGCTAGAGAGACTAGAGAGGCTAGAGAGGCTAGAGACGGCTAGAGAGGTTAGAGAGGTTAGAGACGGCTTGAGACGGCTAGAGACGGCTAGAGACACAGAGAGGCTAGAGGGGCTAGAGAGGCTAGAGAGGCTAGAGACGGCTAGAGAGGCTAGATACGAAGAGAGGTTAAAGACGCAGAGAGGCTAGATAGGCTAGAGATGCTAGAGAGGCTAGAGAGGCTAGAGAGGCTAGAAAGGCTAGAGAGGCTAGAGAGGCTAGAAAGGCTAGAGAGGTTAGAGACGCAGAGAGGGTGGAGAGGTTAGAGAGGCTAGAGAGGCTAGAGAGGCTAGAGAGGCTAGAAAAGTTAGAGAGGCTAGAGAGGCTAGAGAGGCTAGAGAGGTTAGAGACGCAGAGAGGGTGGAGAGGTTAGAGAGGTTAGAGAGGTTAAAGAGGCTAGAGAGGCTAGAGAAGTTAGAGAGGATAGAGAGGCTAGAGAGGTTAGAGACGCAGAGAGGCTAAAGAGGCTAGATACGAAGAGAGGTTAAAGACGCAGAGAGGCTAGAGAGGCTAGAGAGGCTAGAGAGGTTAGAGAGGCTAGAGAGGCTAGAGACGGCTAGAGAGGTTAGAGACGCAGAGAGAATTTTCTGAAACGAAAAATTTCCCGGATATTTTAGGTTTCAAAATTTTTATATGAATTTTTGCAAAATTTTTAAAAATATTGTGTGTGGCATAAAAATTGTAACGGAGAAGAAAACAAATTTTTTGAAAAATCAATTTTCGCCACGTGGAAAAACTGATTTTTTATATTTAGCCTAACTTCAAAGCTCTCAAAATTTGGGAAAAAATCAGAAAAATTTCAAAAAAAAATCCCGGATTATTTAGGTTTCAAAAATATTTCATGAATTTTGAAATTTTTTTTGAAAATTTGATTAGCTATTGGATTTTTATGGGCAAAAATAACTTCACAAGTTGGCCTAACTCAACCTAACCTAAAAACATCCCAATTTTTTGCAGCACGGTCTTTGGTGGGATTGTATCCGCGCGGAAAAACACGTGGTTTCCGTCGGCGATTTTTACGACGAGACTCCATTGCACTGCATGTACAAATTCGATAATTCGGCCGAATTGGTCATTCAGAACACTTTGAATAATATTGATGAAGATGGAGCTGCTGGAGAATCGGAGCATCATAGATTTTGGGGTACTGTAGATTTTTCGCCATGAAATTTGGAGCATTTTGAGACCAAATTCGCTACTGTAAATTGGAATTTTCAAATTTTTGCGCCTGACCAAATTGGGTCTTAAAATGCTCCAAATTTTCGCGCGAAAAATCTACAGTAACCCAATTTTTTGCAGCCTGGCACAAAGCCATTCTCTTCTTCATTATCACCTCCGAATTTTTGGCATTCGTCTCGATTTGCACAGGAGTTTGTGCACCGTGTCTTCCACCAACAGCTTTCGCCTTCACAATTTCACTTTTCATTGCCAGTGAGTTTTTTTGGAGCGAAAATTTGAAATTCAAATTCAAATTTGAATTTTTTGTAGTGATTTGCTCGCTTTTGTCTGATGGAATTTTCTTTTTGGCCGCAAATCGAGTCGATAACAGATTTGTTCAAGGAATGGTTGGAACTTATGAGGTAAGTGAATGTGACGCAAGAAATTTAGTTACAGTAACCTAAATTTAAGCCTAAAATTAGATTTACAGCCTGAAATTTCAGAAATTTTTAAAATAAAAAATTCACTGTTTCAATGTTGAACAAATTTTGAAAATCTGCCCAAAACTCACATTTTCTGATTCAAACAGTGAATTTTTTTTCAATTTTTTTGTGAGAAAAAATTCACTGTTTCAATAAAAAAAAAGAAAAGTTTTGAACAATTTTTAAAAATCATTCCGATCTTCTGAATTTCCTGAGAATCTCGTGAAATTTCTGTGAGATTTTGAAAATTTGCTAAAAAATGTTGGCTGAAAATTTGTGAGGGGAGAGATTTTGATGCCAATTTTTGATGATTTTTGAGCTACACTGGCATATTTAGTGGAATTTTGAAATTGAAAAAAATTGAGAACATTCAGTTTACCAGAATCTCAAAAAAAAATTAAAAATTTATTATTTTTTTTGAAACAGCGAATTTAGTCCATTGTTATGAGATCATTTTCGAAAATCTGCCCAAAACTCATATTTTCTCCTTGAAACAGTGAATTTTTTTAGACTTCTATTTTTTTTTTTGTTTAATATTTTGTGAGAAAAAATTCACTGTTTCAATGAAAAATTGAAAAGTTTTGAACAATTTCTCAAAATAATTGGAAATGATCAACTTTTTTCGAAAATCTTGTAAAATTTTTCTGAGATTTTGAAAATTTTCTCACAAAATTTTGGCTGAAAATTTATAATGCATAGAATTTTTTGTGATTTTCGAGCAACAATAGGCTAGATTTATAGCCCAGAAGTAAATTTTGTGGAGGAACCTATTTCTATTGATTATTTTGGAAAATTTTCCAAAACTCACATTCTCTCATTGAAACAGTGGATTTTTTTGTTAAAAATTTTTTGTGAAAAAATTCACTGTTTCAATGAAAAATTGAAAAGTTTTGAAGAATTTTTAAAAATTATTCAGTGCATTTACCGATTCACCAGAATCTCAAAAAATATCAAAACTTTTATTTTTTAGTTGAAACAGTGAATTTAGTCCATTGTTATGAGATCATTTTCAAAAATCTGCCAAAAACTCAAATTTTCTCATTGAAACAGTGAATTTTTTCAAAATTCCATGTTTTTTTGTTAAAAATTTTAGTGAAAAAATTCACTGTTTCAATGAAAAATAAAATCTTTCTGACAATTATTCAAGATAATGGGTGAGCCACTCTATTCTAATTCTGAAAAATCTGAAAATTCACAGATATTCTGAAGATAAATGTCGTCTGGCATTCTTCTATAAAAATTCAAAAAATTAATCTGAAATTGCATTTTGAGACCTGATTTCTAAAAAAAATAGGGATTTGAATTTTGAAATATATTTTTGTTATTTCCCATGAGCTTCTGGGAATTCACAGAATTTCTGGATTGTTTTTTGCAAAATAGGTTTTTTATCATCATTATTCCAAAAAACTGTTTAAAACTCATATTTTACCATTGAAACAGTGAATTTTTTCAAACACCGAATAGATCTTTTTTTGGCTAAAAGTTCAATTTTCCTGTGAATTTTTATTTTTGTGAGAGAAAAAATTCACTGTTTCAATGAAAGATTGAAAGTTTTGAACAATTTCTCGAAAATTATTGGAAAGACTTTGCAAATTTTCTCAAAAAAATTGGCTGAAAATTTGTGAGGTCAGAGATTTTGGCTCCAATTTTTGATGATTTTTGAGCTACACTGACATAGTTCGTATAATTCTGAAATTGAAAAAAATTTTAGATAATCCGGTTTACCAGAATTTCAGAAAATATCAAAACTTTTATTTTTTTTAGTTGAAACAGTGAATTTTTGAGAGAGCCCAATACTATAAAATCATTTTCGAAAATCTGCCCAAATTTAACATTTTCTCACTGAAACAGTGAATTTTTTCCTATTTTTGAATTATATTTTTTTCAATTTTTTTGTGAGAAAAAATGCACTGTTTCAATGAAAAATTGAAAAGTTTTGAACAATTTCTCGAAATTATTAGAAATGATCAACTTTTTCGAAAATCTTGTGAAATTTTTCTGAGATTTCGAAAATTTTCTCACAAAATTTTGGCTGAACATTTGAGAGGTTAGAGATTTTGATGCCAATTTTTTTCGTGATTTTTGAGCTACACTGACATAGAAGAATTTTTGAAATTTAAATAATACGATTCACCAGAGTCTCAAAAAATATTAAAAATTTATTATTTTTTTTGAAACAGTGAATTTTTGAGAGAGCCAAATACTATGAAATAATTTTTGAAAATCTGCCCAAATCTAACATTTTCTCATCAAAACAGTGAATTTTTTTCTCAAAATTCCATATTTTTTTGTTAAAAATTTTAGTGAAAAAAATTCACTGTTTCAATGAAAAATTAAAAGTTTTGCACAAATGTTACCAACAATTCGCATGCTAATGTCCGTTTGGAATTCAAATTTTTTTTCGCGGGGTGACTCTGATTTCCATATTGAAAATACTGCTTTTTGTGAGAATCTTATGAGATTTTTGTGAGATCGAAATTCGTAAAATTGTCCAAAGCTCACATTTTCTCATTGAAACATTGATTTTTTTTTTTCATATTTTCTGTTGAAAATTTTTGTGAAAAAAATCCACTGTTTCAATGAAAAATTGAGAGTTTTCGACAATTTTCCAGAAGTATTGATGGAATTGGTTTAAATTCTTAAAAGAAATTTTCAGAATTCTATCTTAAAATTTTTTGAGAAATTATTTTCTAAAATTAAATTCTTTTTTTTCCGCAACGCTTCCGCTTCCGCTTCCGCAAATCAATATTTTTCAATTCCAGCAACGCATCGGCTACGCCTTCTACCTTCATTTAATGGGAACACTTTGCTGGATTGTCGCATTCATTTGCGCTCTATTGACAACCTACAAAATCGTGTCTGGAAATCAAGATGATGACAGGTAAATGAGTTCGACTAACTTGGGAAATGCAGGCCGCGGAGCTGATCAGAATGCTCCATAAATCAGCTTCAGAGCTCCACGGGGAGCTGAGAAAATAGCGTTTGAAAATTGGGGCGAATGGTGCAGCCGGTAAGTGCCTAGGTCGCCGGGTTGAAGGTCGCAGGTTCGAGTCCCCCTTGCGACTACTAAAAATGAGTAGTCGCCAGGTGGACTCGAACCCGCGACCTCTTAACTTGAAACCTAGGCACTTACCGGCTGCGCCACCTGAAAAATCATTTTCTCGGCTCCCCGTGGAGCTCCAGAGCTCATTTTCACACCATTCTGACCAGCTCCGCGAGCACTTATCAGCTTCTATCCTATCCCTAAGTTCACCTAAGTTAACCCTAAGTTTTCCCCTAATTTTTCTAGCAAAGAAAATTTGTTCACCTGGCAACAACAGCAGCAACCAACAAGCCTAAATGTGTAAGTTAATTTAATTTTTTTAATTTTCAAAAAAAAATTCGCGGGTTGCGTTGCTGCTGTTGTTGTTGTTGTTGTTGTACAGTACCCCAGGTTACTGTAGATTACTGTAGTTTTAGTGGTGGTTAGTGTTTGCAGATTCGACACAAAATTTGATCAACGACAACAACAACAGCAGCAACAACGCAATTATCGATCGACTTATATCAACTAGAAAATTATTGATCGATTTTTTTTCGCTATGCACCTTTAAATTTTCCATTTTTTGTTATGTTATGTTAGTTTTTGGATGTAGTTTGGTTGGGTTTTGGGAAATTCACGGGTGAAAAATTTGAATTTGAATTCGGCGCGTAAGAATCGGTCTACAGTAATCGGGAGTACTGTAGATTATTTTTGCGCGAAAAAAGAAATTTTAATCAATTTCAAAATATCAAATTTTAATTTCCGAAAAATTTGAAACCTAAAAATTCCGGGATTTTTTCGCAAGTTGAAAAAAATTCAAAATTCAAATTTAGCGCCAGAAAATCTACAGTAGGAATTTTCAGATGCCAAAAAAAAATTCAAATTTTTTTCCCGCGCCAAAATTGTCTCTACAGTAATCTAGTAGCTCTACACTAAAAGCTACAGTATTTTTTTGAAATTCTGAAATTTTTTCCAACAAATTTTGACAGTACAGTATTCTTCTACAGTACTCTAGAAAAATCTTTAAATTTTGTATTAGTCAAGTACAGTACTCCTAAATTTTCAAATGTTTAAATTATTCGCGTCAAGACCCATCTACAGTAATCTAGTAGCTCTACACTAAAAGCTACAGTATTTTTTGAAATTCTGATTTTTCGCGCTAAAACTATTTCCACAGTATTTCAGCTTGAAAATTTTTAATTTGAATTTTTAACGTACAGTACTCCTAAATATTTAAAATTCAAATTGTTCGCGTCAAGACCAACCTACAGTACCCCTCATCCTCCTCCTCAAACCCTACAGTACCCTTCAATTGTTCCAGACACGATCTACCGTACCACCATCGCGACGACCCTCCTCTTCTCCACGACAAATTCACCACCGCCTTCCCTCCAAATGCCACGTGGCGACCACAACCCGAAGTACCATACCGTACCTCAAGTATTCAACAATATCGGGAAACCAGTGCCTAACTCTGAATTTTTTTTTGGCTCAAAACTTTTTTTTCTGCATTTTTTTCCCTACCTAATTTTTCTGTATCATACATTTTTTTGGCCATTTTTTGTTTTTTGGTTTTTTCATCATGAATCTCACACTTTCTTCTTGTTTATGAAATGAAAAATTGAATAAATAAATAAATAATTTTTGAAATTTTGAAATTTGCGCAAAAATCTTCTCAAGGCGCGGCACCTTGAGAACATTGCTGACAAGCAGCAGCGCCTTGCGAGTGTATCTGTGTCAAGGAGCCGTTCCTTGAGAGCTTTTTTTGTGGTTTTCTTTACACGAAAGCCAAAATTTCTGTTTCTGTGGAATTCTTTACACAAAATGTTCAAATAAAAAAATTTATTCAAAAAAAACCCGTGTGAAAAAATGTTTTGGACAAAAAAAATCTGAAAAATGTTCTAGACATCCGGTTGATCGCGAAGATTCATCGAAGCCGCTTTTTCCAGTTTTTTGTTGTAGTAATAGGACCAGTAGACGATCTGGAAAAATGTACTGTATCTCGGGTTACTGTAGTTAGATTACTGTATTCTGTCGCTGATCAGTGAGTGAATGGAAATTTTAAAAATCTAGAAAATTTCGAATTTTTTCGAAACAAATTTTTTTTTTAAATGGAAAAAAATGTTGTTTTGGAATAAAGTACGGTACTTAGGTGTACTGTATCGATTCTTGTTGTAAACGCGAACACTATTCATTGAAAATTCGAAAACTACAAAAATTTTGAAAATTTTCTGAAACAGTGAATTTTTTTCAATGAAAAAAAAATTCTTGAAAAAATTTTTGGTACTTGAGAGTACTGTAGTTTGTAGATAGGATACTGTACATAGATTACTGTAGTTAGATTACTGTAGTTTGGAACAGGATCACAACTAAGACAATTATCGAAAATCCAAAAACTACAAAAATTTTGGAAATTTTCTGAAACAGTGAATTTTTTTTTTGAAAAAAACGGTATTTGAGAGTACTGTAGCCCGCCTGGATTACTGTAGTTTAAGGGTACTGTAATTTAGAATAAAATCGAACGAGAGAGATCGAAATCATAAAAAAAACTTACTGTTTCAAAAAATGTTCAAAGTTTAGAAAAATTTTGCGTCTACAGTAGAATCGAAATTCCAGTAATTAAAAAATTTCAAAACCCAAATTTCTGGCGCCAAAATGACCTACAGTACCCCCGAATCTTCTAACAATAAGCCAATTAAGTTTAACCTTCAAAAAAAAAAACTCACATTAAAAATGGCAAAACACGCCGGAAACATAATCGACGAAATTTTGTCGATTTTCTCCGGCGACAGGTTCCAAACATCGCGCAAGAATCGAAAACGCAAATATGCGGGCCAACCGATTTGACGACGTTCCACCGGAAGCATAAAACGTTTTTCGTATCGACATAATCCGGCCGGGGAACTTTCAAAGTTATCGATTAGCTGGAAAAATTTGAGAATTTTTCAGGGGGAGTGTGTTCCTTCAAATTACTGTAGGGGACATTTTGAGTCGAAATAAGCCTAGGGTTAGTGTAGTTTCATATGAGCAATGTTTTTCGAATTACGTAACTTCCGATGTCGCGTTATCAAAATAAATTTATAATGAAAATTCAATAAAACTTTTTTGAAACAGTGAAAAAACTTAAAATTATTAAAATTTGAACTCTTGTACATTTCAAAAAAAAATCAAAAAAAAATATCTGACCAATTTTTATATTGATTTTTTGAAACAGTGAAAAAATATACACTAAATTCAAAAATTCGTGAAATGTTTTTTTCTGAATTTCGTGTTTTTTATTCCGAAAAGAAGAAAATGAGAAATCAAACCTCAGTGATTAAATTTTGTTTTCCAAAAATTTTGAAACCGTAAAAATTCCGGGAATTTTTTTCACAAGAAAAAATTCACTGTTTCAAAATTTTGAGAAATAATTTTTTTTTCATAGAATTTCAATCATTTTAAAATTTTCGCATTTAATTTTCAAAATTTAATTTCAAAGAGAAAACACACAGTTTCAAAATGTTGAAAAATAAATCTGGAGATCCAAAATTTTTTACCATAAATCTGAGTTCTTCAAAATATTCAGCTATAAGGTCGTTTGGTGAAGAAACAAAATTGCAGTCCGAAAAATGTTTTTTATTTCACAATTTTAGTGCTAAAATATTCAGTAGTCAAGAGAAATTCTACTACAAAAAAAGAAATTTGACTAATTTTCGAGAATAAACATTTCTGTTTCAAAAAAATTTGAAACCTAAAAAATTCGGGAATTGTTTTTCTCACAATCAGAGAGAAAAATTCACTGTTTCAAAATTTTCAGAAATAATTTTATTTTTTCATAGAATCTCAATACATTCTCCCCGGTGAACAAAAAAAAGTCATTTGTCTCAAGTTTGAAATTTTCAGCGTAAAAATGCAAGCACCAAAAATGCACAGTAACCATAATAATTTTTCCAACAACGAGAATAAATTTCGCACTAATCTTCAGCCATTAAAATTTGATTTCTATAAATTTTGAAACGTAAAATTCGGGAATTTTTTTCGTCAGCAAAAAAATTCACTGTTTCAAAATTTTTTTGATAATTTTTTAATTTTAATTTCGTAGAATTTAATTCAGACATATGTTCAAAGAAATTAAAAAGAAAAAACACTGTTTCAAAATTTTGAAAAAGAAATGCAAAAACACTACTAATTTGGCAATAAAAAATTTTATTTTTCAAAAAAATGTGAAACTTAAAAAAATTCGGGAATTTTTTCCTCAAAATCAGAGAGAAAAATCCACTGTTTCAAAATTTCGAGAAATAATTTCTGATTTTTATAAATTCTCAATAAATTGGATATTTTAAAAAACGAGAAATTTTTGTCAAATAATTTTCAGCCAAAAAACTCAATTTTTGGTCCGAGACTTTTTTCGGGGCCCAAAAATGCACAGTAACCATGATAATTTTTCGAACACCAAAAATAAACCTAGCACTAACCTTCCATTAAAATTGTATTACTATAAATTTTGAAACGTAAAAAATTGGGGAATTTTTTTCGTCAGCGAAAAAATTCACTGTTTCAAAACTTTCTGATAAATTTTTGAATTTTATAGAATTAATGTTCAAAGAAATTAAAAAAAAACTACTGTTTCAAAAATTTTCAAAAATAAAATCCCAACCTTCTTATGCGGACACTTTTTCCTTGGTCCCTCATCATTCTTCGTTTTATATCCAATTATAGCCAATTCCAGCAGCGACAAGAAAATGAAAGACATCGAAACCAACATCCAAACATCAATCGCTTTGATATAACTGACACGTGGCAAATTTCGCATAATATTTCCGAATTGGAAAATCATTGCCAAAAGTGCGTTGACACCTAACATTGTTCGAGCTGGCATTGCTTTTGAGCCCAAGGAAAATGAGATCCAGCTGGAAAATATTTTTTTTGGGTTGGGAAACCTTAATTTTCAGCCATTATTGTTTGTGATTATGGAATTTTTGATTTACAATTTTTTTGAAAATGTTTGAAACAGCAAATTTTTCTCTCAAAAAATATAGTTTTTTCAGGATTCAAATTTCTCTTTCAATTCAGGATTCTGGTCAGAATTTGTTTTGAAAAATTTCTGAAACAGTAAATTTTTTCTAACTTCTGAAAGTATGATGTTCACGTCGCATTAAGACTCTATAAAAATTCAAAAATATTTCTAAAAATTTTGAAACAGTAAATTTTATATACAAAATTCTCGGATTTTGTAGGTTTCAGAACCCGGGAAAAATGAGATCGAGCTGGAAAATAATTTTGGGTAAGGAATCTGGGAGGGACATTCAAAAATTGTTGGTGAATTCGTGTTATCAGGGAATTTTTTGATTTCCTATTTTTCTTCTACAAATTTTGAAACAGTTGATTTTTTCTATCAAAAAAATCTCTTTCTTTCAGGTTTCAAATTTTTCTGGAAAAATTTGATTTTTTTCCATGATTTATTAATTCAGATTTCTGATCAGAATTTGTTCTGAAAAATTTCTGAAACAGTAAAGTTTTAAACCTCTACGAGTAGATCACTCACGTCAAATCAAGGCTTTATGTAAATTCAAAAATATTTCTCAAAAATTTGAAACAGTGAATTTTTTCCCTAGAAAAGAAAAACATCATGGATTTTTTAGGTTTCAATATTTTTGGAAAATAAAATTTGAAGAATGAAAATTGATTTGCCTTCCTTTAACTCTTGAAGCAAAAACATCTTAGAATCTGAAGCCCCTAAAGGCCCCTAAAGTCCCCTAGAAGCCTTCCTTAACCCCTCAAAAAATTATTTTACCTGATAAAAATGGTGAGATAAGTTGGAAGATAAGCTTGCATAAAATACCAAATGTATCTTCTCTCAAAAATCAGTTTCACGTGTAATTCATCCCACATTCCAGCTGGATAGGGCTGAAAAAAATCAATAATTTTTTTTTCGAGATCTTACTGTAGCTCCCAGCTCACCACAGATTTTTGCTCGGTTCGAATTGTATAAAGAATAAAATCTGGCAGTAGAATCGCATTTAGAATTGTGTACGGTGTTTCTGGCCGCCAATCCATTCGAACTTCTTGATTGTTGTAATTGAAACTGGAAATTTGAGTTTTGAAAATTTGAAATTGGCCTGTAAAAGCTACGTGGACTTCTGGAGTCATGAAATTTGAATTTTCAGAATTTCCCGCCAAAAATTCACCTGGATTTTTTTTGAAACAGTGGACCAAATCAGAAACACACTTCAAAATTCTAACAAAAAATTATTAAAAATTTGAAACAGTGAAATTTAATGTCTACATGATGATGATGAGACATCGAAAAATTCTCTTTCATTTTTTAGTTATGAATTTTTTGAAACAGTGCATTTTTTTTTGAAATTTTTTTTGTTCATTTTTAAATTTTTTGTAAAAATTTTGGGTAATTTCTGAAACAGTGATATTTTTATTTTGAAAATCCGGAAATTTTCCCTGGTACAAAAATTTTGCACGTGGAATTATTTCAGTTTTTTTTTCAAATTTCGCGCGCTAAATATTATCATCCCACGTGGCCTTCTTTCTTTTTTTCAAAATTCAAAATTTAAAATTTTTCGTAACAACACACTTCAAAATTGAATTTTGAAAATTCTAACAAAAAATTATTGAAATTTTGAAATAGTGAAATTTTATGTCTGCATCGAAAAATTCATTGAAAAATTCTCTTTCATTTTTTAGTTATGAATTTTTTGAAACAGTGAAATTATTTCTAATAAAAACTCTACATGGAATCGCTGAAGCAACGAAGTTTGAAAAATCTAAAAATTTTGAAACAGTGAATTTTTATTTCAAAAATAGAAATGTCAACGAATACCAACTTTTTGCAGAAGTTTTGCGTAATTTTTGAAACAGTGATATTTTTATTTTGTAAATCCCGAAATATTCCCTGGCATAAAAATTTTGCACGTGGAATTATTTCAGTTTTTTTTCAAATTTCGCGCGCTCAATATTATGCCACGTGGCATGCTTTTCAATTTTTTATCAAAAATTACAAATTTAAAATTCCAAATAACAACAAACTTCAAAATTCTAACAAAATTATTATTTAAAAATTTTAAACAGTGAAATTTTATGTCTACAAGATCAAAAATTTCGCTTTCATTTTTCAGTTAAGCAGTAAAATTATTTATAATAAAAACTTTAATGGAATCGCTGAAGGAACGAGGTTTGAAAAATCTAGAATTTTTGAAACAGTGATTTTTTTAAATTTTGAAAATCCGGAAATTTTCCCTGGCACAAAAATTTTGGAATTATTTCAGTTTTTTTTTTTAGAATTTCGCGAGTTTTATGCCAAGTGGCAGGTTTTTTTAAATTGAATTTTTCTAACCACAAAACTGAGAAAGAACAAACTTCAAAATTCTAACAAAAAAATATTGAAATTTTTAAACAGTGAAATTTTATGTCTACATGATGATGATGAGACATCGAAAAATTCATTTTTCATTTTTCAGTTATGCATTTTTTGAAACAGTGAAATTATTTTTGAAAATTTCTTGTTTGGATTAACCGCTGAAGGAACGGGGTTTGAAAAATCTAGAAATTTTGAAACAGTGAATTTTTATTTCAAAAATAGAAATGTCAACGAATACCAACTTTTTGCAGAAATTTTGCGTAATTTTTGAAACAGTGATATTTTTATTTTGAAAATTCCCTGGCACAAAAATTTTAAGATTCATTTCTGTTTATTTTTCAAATTTCGCGCGCTCAATATTATGCCACGTGGCATGCTTTTCAATCTTTTGTCAAAAATTCCAAATTCAAAATTCATCAAATTTTTTCGTAACAACAAATTGCAATATTCTAGCAAAATAATTAATAAAAATTTCCTTGTTAAATTTCAGTTATGCATTTTTTGAAACAGTGAAATTATTCCCGAAAAATTCTGGTTTGAGCTTATCGCTGAAGAAACGAGGTTTGAAAAATCTAGAAATTTTGAAACAGTGAATTTTTATTTGAATTAAAATAGGGAAAAAATAGGGAATGCCAACGAAGACCAATTTTTCGCAGAAGGTAATTTTTGAAACAGTGATTTTTTTGAAAATTCTCATAATTTCCCCGCGATTAAAAATTTCTCCACGTGGCTTTTTTTTTGAATTCTCAAATTTCCCGCCAAAAAATCCCCCCACCTTTCATAGATCAAATTGCATTCCTGAATATCCAACGGGAACAATTCCAGCGATAAATTACACGGCCCTTTCACATTGACACGCTGAAAATTTTCAGAGTTTCAGATTTTTTCTGGCTGAAAAAACTTTTTCCAACTCACATAATTCACCCAAACCGTTCCATTCGGATAAAGCATCAGGAAAACGTTTCTGAAAAATTTCAGATTCTAGAATTTTCAGCCAAAAAACACTCACTTGAAAGGTGAATCGTGGATTTCGGCGAATTTGCTGTTGACAAAACACGAGTTCGGTGTCCAAAGTCGATCGAGAACCTGGAAAATTTTTGAATGCGGCTTGGTTTTGTGGGCGGGGCTTAGGAGACACTACTTCTAGTTTTACAGGAATTTCTGATGCGGCATGGATTTGTGGGCGGGGCTTAGAAACTCCATGAGATTCTGCAAAATTTTTGAATGCGGCACGGTTTTGTGGGCGGGGCTTAGGAGACACTACTTCTAGTTTCACAGGAATTTCTGATGCGGCATGGTTTTGTGGGCGGGGCTTAGAAACTCCATGAGATTCTGCAAGATTTTTGAATGCGGCTTGGTTTTGTGGGCGGGGCTTAGAAACTCTACAAGATTCTGCAAAATTTTTGAATGTGGCTTGGTTTTGTAGGCGGGGCTAAATTTTTTGTTTTCACCGGATTTTCCTTGATTTTTTATTGGTTTTTTTATGACCAAATGTTGCATAAGCATTATTAGCTTTGCAAATATCTGACGTGACCGACAATCAGCCTCAGCGTGTTCCATATATTCATCAGATAAGAACGCTTATATAAAGCGCCGCTGGAAGCATTCTGGGCTGGACTACTCTCTCATTATGTAAATAAATCTTTTTTAGTATTTATGTGTGCACTAATATTCTAATATTATGTTTACACCCACTATCAGGGTTGTAACAATTGGCGATCAGGACAGTTCAACTTTTGCGGCGCCAACACCAGCTATTGGATGTTGTGCCCCACCTATCGTGCACATTCTACAGAAGAGGAGGAGTATGAGGAGTCTCAGTTGTGGAGTTATGGTAGTGGTTCGATGTGTCGTACTAATGACTATGGCCATCGTTTCCTCCTTTTGATCCGCATTTGGACAATCGTCAGAGGTGCACTATGCTGCTTATATGCCCTACCACCACAATGTTCCATGCCACCCCAGCTCTTGTTCCATATGGTATCAATCAAATATGCTGGCAATCAGCCGATGTGCTTTTGGTTTCAATTAATAACGCTGGATATATTCAACGCATTGTTGGATATTCACCAAATGGCTTCAATCAAATATGCTGGAGATTATCAACGCATTGTTGGTATTTCGTTACCAGTTATTGTTCCAAATGGTATCCATTTATCAACGCATTGTTGGTATTTTGGAAAATGCTGCACAATCAATATGACGTGTATGCAGAAGATCGATATGGTCAATCGACTTATAAACAAAAGGAAGTGTTGCATAAGCATTATTAGCTTTGCAAATATCTGACGTGACCGACAATCAGCCTCAGCGTGTTCCATATATTCATCAGATAAGAACGCTTATATAAAGCGCCGCTGGAAGCATTCTGGGCTGGACTACTCTCTCATTATGTAAATAAATCTTTTTAGTATTTATGTGTGCACTAATATTCTAATATTATGTTTACACCCACTATCAGGGTTGTAACAATTGGCGATCAGGACAGTTCAACTTTTGCGGCGCCAACACCAGCTATTGGATGTTGTGCCCCACCTATCGTGCACATTCTACAGAAGAGGAGGAGTATGAGGAGTCTCAGTTGTGGAGTTATGGTAGTGGTTCGATGTGTCGTACTAATGACTATGGCCATCGTTTCCTCCTTTTGATCCGCATTTGGACAATCGTCAGAGGTGCACTATGCTGCTTATATGCCCTACCACCACAATGTTCCATGCCACCCCAGCTCTTGTTCCATATGGTATCAATCAAATATGCTGGCAATCAGCCGATGTGCTTTTGGTTTCAATTAATAACGCTGGATATATTCAACGCATTGTTGGATATTCACCAAATGGCTTCAATCAAATATGCTGGAGATTATCAACGCATTGTTGGTATTTCGTTACCAGTTATTGTTCCAAATGGTATCCATTTATCAACGCATTGTTGGTATTTTGGAAAATGCTGCACAATCAATATGACGTGTATGCAGAAGATCGATATGGTCAATCGACTTATAAACAAAAGGAAGTGTTGCATAAGCATTATTAGCTTTGCAAATATCTGACGTGACCGACAATCAGCCTCAGCGTGTTCCATATATTCATCAGATAAGAACGCTTATATAAAGCGCCGCTGGAAGCATTCTGGGCTGGACTACTCTCTCATTATGTAAATAAATCTTTTTTAGTATTTATGTGTGCACTAATATTCTAATATTATGTTTACACCCACTATCAGGGTTGTAACACCAAAAACACAGAGTTACATTAAAAAAAAATAAAGGAAGTATTTTTTATCAAAATTTTTTGAAACAGTGAAAAAATTCATTTTTTTTTAAATGCAAGTCGGGAATAATTTTGGAACCCGAGATTTTTTAAACTCAAAAATTCACTGTTTCAAAAATATGCAAATTTTTTTGATGTCTCAAGATTTTTACCAACTCAAATTTTTATAAAACATTATTTTGTCAGCTCAAAATTCACTGTTTCAAAAATATAATTATTGCTCCCAATTTCCCTTAACAAGTGCCAAAAGTGCATCTCTAAAAGTTCCCGAAGTATCATTCGAAATCCATTCAATCAAACTCTCATCTCGATGTCGTCTATCAAATTCTTCTCGAATCGATTGCAAATTCCTTTCCGATGTTCCAACAATTGTTCGAATCAATTCGTCATTCATTGTTCCCAAATCATCCATATAAAATTCAAGTTTATCAGAATAATATTTCAATTGATTTTGTGTGATATCAATTACAGTATTAGCAAATTGATCAAAGTTTCTAGAATCTAGAATGTATGCACAGTTTTTGCACGCGCAATTACAGATCAGCTTATTATTAGTATATTATTGACTCATTTCGAAAATAGGTCGAATATAGGCTAATACGGTACCCATTATTAGTCAAAAATCGATGCAATTTTCTAAATCTAGCCAAAAATTAGCAAAAGCTGCTTTATGATCAATTTGGAAGTGAAAAATAGGAAATTACATTCATCTAACAATTCTAGACTTCCAGAGATCCCTAAACTTCAGATTCATTTTTGACTAATAACAAGCTTATTAGTAATTATTAGTACTTGTTAGTCAAAAATGAATCTGAATTTTAGGGATCTCTGGCAGGCCTGATCGGAATCGGAATATCGGAATTCCGAAATTTCGAAACCGACAGGTTTTTCGGAATGAGACAAACGTGTCTCGGAATCGGAATCTATTTTCTCGGAATCGGAATCATTCCGATGTTACTTCCGAAACTTTTTGGAATTTCGGAATGTGTTTCTCTTCCGAATTTCGGAATTTTTCTACCGAATTTCGGAATTTTTCGGAATGTTTGAGCTGAAATTAGTGAAAAATTCAACAAAAAAATGGAAAAGTTGATGAATTTTACCTGTCATTTTCAAAAAATCTCTTTTTCTCTTGTGATTCTCAAAAAATTTAACTTTTGAAGACAAATTTTATAAGTTTTATATCATTCCGAAACATTCCGAAAAATTCCGAAATTCCGAGGTAAAAATGTCGGAATGGAGGTTCGGAATTCGGAATTACGATCTGACCACTCGGAATGAGTGTGCTCATTCCGAACCTTTCGACAAGGTCCATTCCGACCAGGCCTGATCTCTGGACCTCTGATTGAACTCTAGAATTGTTAGATGAATGTAATTTCCTATTTCTCACTTTCAAATTGATCATGAAGCAGCTTTTGCTGATTTTTGGCTAGATTTAGAAAATTGCATCGATTTTTGACTAATAATTATTATATTAGCTTATCACAGGCAATTACAGATCAGCTTATTATTAGTCTATTATTGACTCATTTCAAAAATAGGCGTTATATAGGCTAATACGGTACTTATTATTAGTCAAAACCGATTCAATTTTCTAAATCTAGCCAAAAATTAGCAAAAGCTGCTTTATGATCAATTTGAAAGTGAGAAATAGGAAATTACATCCATCTAACAATTCTAGACTTCCAGAGATCCCTAAAATTCAGACTTATTTTTGACTAATAAGTTACTAATAATTACTAATAAGCTTGTTATTAGTCAAAAATGAGTCTGAAGTTTAGGGATCTCTGGACCTCTGATTGAACTCTAGAATTGTTAGATGAATGTAATTCCCTATTTCTCACTTTCAAATTGATCATAAAGCAGCTTTTGCTGATTTTTGGCTAGATTTAGAAAATTGCATCGATTTTTGACTAATAATTATTATATTAGCTTATATTAAGCCGAAATTCAAAATAAGTCAATAATAGACTAATAATATGCTGATCTGTAATTGCTTATGGCGTACAACTTACCCTGCTCGCACAAAAACCGATTTCACAACTTCTTCAATCGTCTTCCCTGAATATTCATGAAACTTTTTGAATATCAATTTCAATTGCACCAAATTAGTCGCAACAAAAATCTGCGTAAAAACCCTCTCGGCGTCTGAAGTGTTAAAAGCATCAATAAGCCTCATCGCATCTTCGGCAGCTTTTGTTCTATTCATCACCAAACTCTCATCTCTCTCAACTTCCAATAACTTGATAACAGATAAATTTTGTGAGTCAAAATGGCATAAAAACTCATAAAGTGTTTCATTTTTCCTATTTTTTCGATTCGCATTTAAAAATCCCTCATCAATATCTCGAATCTCCTGATTTGTACGTGTCATTAGAATTTCAGTGATTATCGTCGATCCTCGATGCCCTCTGATCGCTTTATGTAATGTTGTTGCATAAATCGCGTGAGCGTCAAAAATTGCAGGAGGATCGAATAAACCGATTATCAGTTTTTTGAAGTTTCCACTCAATTTTTTCTCGAGAATTGCGATTAGATTTTCGAAATACGTTGAATTGTATTCAGAAGCTATTATTTCGCGTTGAGATTGTGAGCGGTGGCAAATTATATTGATTAGCTAGAAATTTTCGTAATTTTCCAAGTCAGAGATTTTCAGGTGGCCTGCGGAAGCTCCGGAAAGCTTTCGGAAGCCTTGGGAAGCCGCACAAGGAACTGTAAAAGGTCAAAGAAACGGGTCTACCTGAGATTTCTGATTTGTATCCAAAGCTTCTTTGAGTCTCATAACATCCGATGTAACATTAAAATTCTTGTAAGGAATAATCGACGGCTTCTGATCAAACATCCCTGGAAACCCAAATTATTATAGATCATTCTAGATCACACATACATCCAGATCCAAAAATAACCAGTGGTTTTCTACTAGCTTCAGAATCTGAATCTTCTTTCCACTCAACATCTTCTTCATCCGGATTATACCATTCTTCCGATTTTGTAAAATCAAAAAAATCATCCTTTCCGCACTGAAAATCCGCAGACAATCTATATTTCTTCAAATCAAAATCATATTTCGCAATAAATCTCGATTTGCGATTCTTCAAAAATTCGATATCCCCATTTGTATGATTCACCGAAACCAGCTCAATAATATCTCCATTATCAAAATCAACTATATTTCCAGGTTTTGTGAGTTGGATCTTGAATTGTGTCAAATTCATGCACCCTTTTGAACATTCGCATAACATGAATTCATTATTGAAGGTGTTATTCACGTTATCTTCGGAAACCTTCGGATCTTCGAACTCCAACATCATATTTTTATAATCACTCATCAATTTCTCAATTATATTCTCATAAACCTGCTCAAAACCCTCTTTAATATACAAATTGAACTTCTCATCTTCAAATTCAAAACTAAATTCAATCAAATTTTCATCCAAATTGAAATATTCAAATTGTCGTCTCTCTTCATTCAAAATCTCATAATACCGTATAGAATAAAACGGCGTGTAATATCCCAATTCTAAAGCACTAATATTTTTCAATGAAAATATTTGATCTTCGAGTTGCTTGGTTCTGAGAGCATTTCGAAACTTTTCAATCAATTCTTCAACAATTCTCACAAATGTTTTTTTATAATCGATAAATATTGAGCTAAACCATTTGAGATTTGAACTTTGTGAATGTGAATATTTTTCAGTTTTGATCTCCAAATTTCCATTTTCATTTATAATCACATCAAATTCAATTTTCTTTTTTCCATCAAGTGCAACCAAAAACTCCAGATTTCTCTCATTAGATCTCTCAACAAAAAATCTTTCTTTCTCAATAGTTGGAACTTTTCCAATTAATTCAGCAACCCTTTTCAGATTTCTAAAAGAATCAATTTCAGCATTTTCAAGATTCCTCATATATTCCTGAAGTATACCATCAGTTTTTCTAGCAAATAATTGATCATAATTAATCAAAAATGAGGAATAATAGGGTCTCTTGGGTTCGTATTTATTTTTCTGTCGCTCTGCATGAATCAGGCAGGTATTGTTATGTTGAACAGCTTCGATTTCGATTTTCAGAACATCCAGGGTATGAACTAGATATCGAATTTCAACGTTAAATTTGAACAATGATTTTGAATCAATTGAATTGCCGTGAGATGTGATAATCTCATATTGTCGAATTGGAATTTCTCCATCTCCATTCCAAATCTTCGCCAACTCTTCCCTTCTAAAACCCGAATCAGCCAACTTATTACCTTCCCAATCATAAATCGCAAAATCTCCCGTAAAATATCGTTGAGATTCGGAATTATTTCGCATCACTTTGATGTAGTTTTTCACACATTCTTCTGCGTCGAAATGTACAATTTCGGCAGAAATAAAATTGAAGAGGAAAAAAATCAGTAAGAACAACATTGGTTTGAATATATGAATTTGAAAAGTTTTGGGGGCTTGGAATTGGTTTTTTTTAATGATGACTAGATGTCTAGACCAATGATTTTTGAGAATTTTGCAAAAAAAGTTCGCCTCGGAGCGGGATCGAACCCATGACCAAAAATTCAAAGGCGTGCGTGTTAACCACTCGGCCACAAATCCCCCCAAAAACTCTCACCTGATGACTAACTGATAAATTATGTTTACACGGATTCAAATGCTCGAATCGAAGTGCCGGATCAACCCACATCTCATTGATATAAATATCCATTTCGAAATCATTTGTGATTTCGTTGATTGAAAGTGATTGCTTGAATCCAGAAGTCTACTGTCACTTCGACACCGTCGTCTGCAAAAATATTGTGAAATGTCTTTTTTTCAAATGCGGTTCTGTTGCTAAATCTACTTTTTGAAACATATTTTGTTCAAAAAGCTAATGCGAAAAATGGCAATATTTCCAAAATTGTTTGAAATTTCTTATTAGTTTTTTGAAACAGTGAAATTTTTATATTTTTTTCTCAATTAAAAAGATTTCAGAAATATCCTATAGAAATAGAAGAGAAGTTGGACTATCACTTTTCCAAATTTTCAGAATTTATATCATCAAATTTTGAAACAGTGAATTTTTTTTTAATTTGAATCTTGGTTTTTTACACGAAAATTACAATTAATAATTGACATGAATCATTTTTCCTAACTTTGCATAATTTATCAATAAATTTTGAAACAGTGAAAATTCTCGCCTATGAAATTCACAAAAACTTTCTTCTAAATGAAATACCAACATAACCACTATGGATCGGAAAAAATGAAAACTCCAAAACATTATCAAAAATTTTTGAAACAGTGAAATTTTTTTGAACCAAAATTTGAACTTTTTTTTCTCATTTTGTTCAAAGAAAAACACAAAAAACACAATCTAATTCCACATGAATCATCAATATATTATTGAAACAGTGAATTTTTTTTTGCAAAATTGGAGTTGTATTTTTTCATCGGTATAATCATTTTCGGAAACTTACAGAATTTATATCAACAAATTTTGAAACAGTGAAAAATTTCGCATTCATGAAATTCTAAAATTGTCAAATCTTCAATAAAATGAAATACCCAATTCTGAGAATTAAAACTCAACAAACCACTGAATAAAATTCTCAACAAAAAAAACGTTATCAAAATATTTTGAAACAGTGAGATTTTTCGAACTCACGAAGTACTCAACAACTCCATAAAAAAACAAAAAATTTTTGTAATTTCTTAACATTTTTATAAACTATTTTTGAAACAGTGAAATTTTGAAAAACAAAATTTGAAGCTTTTTTTAACTAAAAAGGTTTCAGAAATATCCTATAGAGAAAATCGAATATGAAAGGTCTATCACTTTTTCAAAATTTTCAGAATTTATATAATCAAATTTTTAAACAGTGATTTTTTTTTTAAATTTGAATCTTGGTTTTTTACACGAAAATTACAATTAATAATTGACATGAATAATTTTTCCTAACTTTGCATAATGTATCAATAAATTTTGAAACAGTGAAAATTATCCCGTATGAAATTCACAAAAACTTTCTTCTAAATGAACTACCCAATATAACCACTACTATGGATCGAGCAAAAAGTGAAAACTCCAAAATATTATAAAAAATTTTTGAAACAGTGAAATTTTTCGAACCAAAAATTTAAAAAATTTTTTTCTGATTTTGTTCAAACAAAGAAAACAATTGTTTTTCTAATTTTTCAAAACAAAATCAGAAATTTATTTTTTTCGCTAAAGAAAACTATCGTTTTTTTCTAATTTCCCCGAAAAATTTGAATTTTCTTTGAAACAGTGAATTTTTTGCAAAATTGGAGTTGTGTTTTTTTTTCATCGGTATAATCATTTCTGGAAACTTACAGAATTTATATCAACAAATTTTGAAACAGTAAACAATTTCGCATTCATGAAATTCATAAATTGTCAAAATTCTTAGATTTACAGTCAGACCACAAAATTAAATTCCCAAAATGTTATCAAAAAAATTTGAAACAGTGAAATTTTTCGAACCGAAATTTGAATAATTTCTTTTAAGTGGGATGCCATCATTTTTTTGGATCTACAGATTTTTTATCAATACATTTTGAAACAGTGAAAATTATCCCGTATGAAATTCACAAAAACTTTCTTCTAAATGAAGTACCCAATAGAATAATACAGCAAAAAATGAAAACTCCGAAATATTATCAATAAATTTTGAAACAGTGAAATTTTCGAACCAAAATTTGAACTTTTTTTCTTATTTTGTTCAATGAAAAAACAATTGTTTTTCTAATTCCACATGAATTATCAAATTTCTTTGAAACAGTGAAATTTTTCAAAACAAAACCAGAAATTTGTTTTTTTTTACGACAATGAAAACGAAAATGATCGTTTTTTTCTAATTTCCCCAGAAAGTTTCAATGTTCTTTGAAACAGTGATTTTTTTTTCAAATTTGAATCTTGGTTTTTTACACGAAAATTACAATTAATAATTGACATGAATAATATTTCCTAACTTTGCATAATTTATCAATACATTTTGAAACAGTGAAAATTATCCCGTATGAAATTCACAAAAACTTTTTTATAAATGAAGTACCCAATAGAATCACGCAGCAAAAAATGAAAACTTCAAAAAGTTATCAAAAAACTTTGAAACAGTGAAATTTTTCAAAACAAAATCAGAAATTTATTTTTTCGCTAATGAAAACTATCGTTTTTTTCTAATTTCCCCAAAAAATTTGAATTTTCTTTGAAACAGTGAATTTTTTTTTGCAAAAATGTAATCGTGATTTTACATCGATATAATCATTTTTGGGAACTTACAGAATTTATATCAACAAATTTTGAAACAGTGAAAAATTTCGCATTCATGAAACTCATAAATTGTCAAAATTCTTAGATTTACAGTCAGACCACAAAATAAAATTCCCAAAATGTTATCAAAAAATTTTGAAACAGTGAAATTTTTCGAACCGAAATTTGGATAATTTCTTTTAATTGGGATGCCATCATTTTTTTGGATCTACAGATTTTTTATCAATAAATTTTGAAACAGTGAAAATTCCCCCGTTTGAAATTCACAAAAAATTTCTTTTAAATGAACTACCCAATATAGAACTAAATGGAGCAAAAAATGAAAACTCCAGAACATTATCAAAAATTTTTGAAACAGTGAATTTTTTTCAAAACAAAACCAGAAATTTGTTTTTTTTCGCTAATGCAAACAAAAAATTTTTTTCTAATTTCCCCAAAAAATTTCGATGTTCTTTGAAACAGTGAGTTTTTTTGCAAAAATGTAATTGTGTTTTTTCATCGGTATAATCATTTCTGGAAACTTCCAGAATTTATATCAACAAATTTTGAAACAGTGAAAAATTTCGCATTCAAGTATTCAAAAATTCCATCAAAAACTTTCAAAAATGAATACGAAAGTCATTATTCTTGTGATTATCAATAAATTTTGAAACAGTGCAAAATTTTCGCATTTATGAAATTCACAAATCGCCAAATCTTCAACAAAATGAAATACCCAATTCCGAGGATCACCCGACTACAAAATACAATTCCCAAAACATTATCAAAAAATTTTGAAACAGTGAAATTTTTCGAACCAAAATTTGGATATTGTTATCTTATTGGAAAAACAATCATTTTTTGAATCTACAGATTTTTTATCGATAAATTTTGAAACAGTGAGATTTTTCGAACTCACGAAGTACTCAGCAACTTTATCAAAAAAACACACAATTTTTTTAAATAATTTTCCATAATTTTTATCAACTATTTTTGAAATAGTGAAATTTCGAAAAGCTTTGAGGTAAAATATGAATCATTTTTCCAATTCCACATATTTTATAAAATTTTGTTGAAACAGTGAATTTCTCAAAAAAACATTTTTTGAATATTTTTCTTATGAGACATGCGTAAAATGATTTCCTCAAATTCCACATAATTAATCAGTATTTTCTGAAACAGTAAAAAAATTTTCAATCATTTTTTTCATCAGAAAACCCTAGAATTTTCAAAAATCCCCCAAATTTTGCCTATTTCCAATCATTCAACCAAACTTCCCCTTTTTGCTCTTTTTTCGTATACTTTTTCCATAAAAAGTGTTCTTTTTTCTCTACTTGCTGGGTGGTGGGATTAAAAAGAGAATGTTTCGTAATTTTTCGATTTGTCAAACAATTTTTTGTTCCCAAACAATTTATGATGTTTTTTTTCGTTCGTTCCCTTTTAAAATTGTTCGCAGAAAAATAGAAACATTTTACATCAAAGTTCAGATATTTCCGGAGTTTCAGGAAATCCGGCACAAATCGAAAATCTTGGAAAAAATAGAGAAATAGGAGGTGGTGAACTTTAGAAATGTCAAAGTTTTTAAATTTTTTGGACAAAAAGGGTCTAAAGTAATCCCGAAAAATATAGGTTTCAAAAAATTTTGATATGAAAATTGAGAAAGAAAAGGCTGATAATACTAGATTTTCTTCTGAAAAAAATATACTGTTTTAAAAATTTAATTTAACTTTTAATTTTTGTTTTAAAAATAATTTAAAAAAAACAAATTTCAAATTTTCTAGACAAAAATTCTACTGTTTCAAAAATAAGCTAATTGTTCCTCCAATTTTGAATCTGAGTTCGAATTACAGTGAAAGCTGATGGAGAATCTGAAGAATGCTTGGAAAAATTCCCAAAAAATTACGTTTAAAAAATGTATTTCTAATTTATGTTTCAGATTTCAAAAAATTTTGAATCTTCCATTTTTTGAGAAAATTCCACTGTTTCAAAAATATCTGAAAAAAATTGGTGAATAGTCAAAAAAATTAATGGAAACAATGTATTATTTCAAAAAATGTATTTATCTTAGTTTTAACAATCTGATATTCACCAAAATTTTTCATTTTTTCTTTATGAAAAACTCCACTGTTTCACAAAACTTTCTTGAGAAATGAAACAAATTTCTAGAATAATATACAGGAAAAAAATATTCCATTCAATGACTAGAAAAAAATCTACTGTTTCAGAAACCCATGAACAAAATTTAAGAATCTATAAACTTGATAATTCCGCTAAGTTTCTGGTCTTTCCACAAATTTCAAATTCAGTAAGAAAAAAAACATATAAAATCTGCTGTTTCAAAGAGTTTCCAACTAAAGAGCAGGGTTAAAAAAACAATTCGAAGCTAGTTTTTGGTCGAGAAAAAAACTACTGTTTCAAAAATTGTTCAAGTAAAAAAATGAATAAAAAAATTGTTGACCAGCATCATCATTGTTAGGAAAAAATCTACTGTTTCAAAAAAAAACTCGAAAATAAAAATTATTTCCAATATTTTTGATGGAGGGTTGAATAATTCATATGAATTTTTTTTTCAAGATAAAAAATTCACTGTTTCAAAAAATCATTAATTCAGAATTTCCTAATTTTGATCAATTATTTGTAAAAATTTTAAACTAGGGATAAAATTATAATTTTCAGGTGTTTTTTCACAAGAAAAAATAACTGTTTCAAAAATTTCATAAGTAAAAATTATTTCCAATATTTTTGATTGAAATTTTAGTTGAAAGCTAAACAAAATGTCTTAAAAAACTTCACTGTTTCAAAAATCATTAATTCAAATTTCTAATTTTGATCAATTATTTGTAAAAATTTTAAACTAGGGATAAAATTATAATTTTCAGGTGATTTTCACGAAAAAATAACTGTTTCAAAATTTCATAATTAAAAATTATTTAATGTTTTTGATATTAACAAAATATTCACTGTTTCAAGAAATTAACAAAACCAATAGTGAGATTTGGATTCTTAATAACAGACTTTTACAAAATTCCTAAACCTCCCCCAAAAAACCCACTTGGTATCCGAAATTTATTATATCCAGTTCCATTCAACAATTTATCAATAATCTCTGGTTGTCTCGTACAATTCTTCCTCATTTTCTGCATTTTTGCCATCGATTTTTCTTGCATCACAGTCATCGGATCCTCACTCAAATTATAATCATTATCGATCAAAATTTCCGATTTCCCGATTTCCAATATTGAAAATATCCAAAGCCAATAAAATATGCCTAATTTTTGTCGCATTCTGAAAAAAAACTTGAAATTTTTTTTCGGAGCCAAAAAAAAAGAGAGTCATCAAAAATCTTGAGAAAAATCTTGATTCATTGATGAATTATTGATAAATTTATGAGAAAACTCACAAAAAATGAGCAGAAAAACATTTTTTTGGGGGGAAAATGAGAAAAAAATTTTTTTTTTTGGGGGAGAAAAGGACACCGGATCCGGATCCCGGATCTGTTTGAGTTTGGGATTTTTTGGAGAAAAATTTTTTTTGGACTTTTTTGAGTCAGAAAACTTGGAATAATTTTTTTGAAGTTCAGAATTTTTTGGCGCTAAAATTTTTAAAATCGGAATTTTCGCGCCAAAAAATCTTGCGATAAAAAATTAGCGCGAGAAATTTCGAATTCAAATTCTCAAAATTTTTGGGATGAGATTTGAAATCGGAAATTTTCGCGCCAAATTCGAAAATTCAAATTTCAAACTTCAGGATTCTGAAAAAAATGGCGCAAAATTTCAAAATTATTTTCAAAAAATCCCATCCAGCTATCAAATTACAACTTATCCTAACTCAATTCTGAGCCAAAAAAATCCACGTCATAAAAAATTTTCACCCGAAAAAAAGTAAAAAACCCAGCGCCGGAAGTCTTTTTTGTGTGTGCCAATACCAATTTCAGACAATTTTATTTCAGACCAAAAAATGCTCAAATCTAAATTGTGTTAGGCTCAGCTCCAAAAGGTTGTGCTCCAAAAATGTTTCTAGTTAGAAAAGTTCACAAAATTTTCTCCAGGGAAAAATAAAGCAAAAGTAAAATGAATATTTTTTTTCAGAAAAAAAGTTGACAAGCAAAAATTTTAGTCACCGAAAAAAGTACACACACACATTTTTCTCCTGAGCTCGCCAAGAGAAAAAAATGTGCTCAAAATGTGCTCAAGCTCCGCCCCTTTTCTTTCTGCTGATCAGAAAAAAAATGTCAAAAAAGTCTGAAAGTCAGGGGAAGATCTGAAATTAATTTTTGAGAAAAAAAAATTTGGAACGAGTCAGACAAAGTTGACACATTTCAACGGGATTAAATGAAATTGCTTTTTTTTTTGAAAACTGGGAGGTGACGAATTTTGGGGAAGTTAGAGGAAATCTGGAGAAGCTAGAGACGCAGAGAGGCTAGAGAAGCTAGAGAGGCTAGAGAGGCTAGAGAGGCTAGAGAGGCTAGAGAGGCTAGAGAGGCTAGAGAGGCTAGAGAGGCTAGAGAGGCTAGAGAGGCTAGAGAGGCTAGAGAGGCTAGAGATGGCTAGAGAAGCTAGAGACGCAGAGAGGCTAGAGAGAGGCTAGAGACGCAGAGAGAGGCTAGAGAGGTTAGAGAGGCTAGAGACGCAGAGACATACGTGGCAGCTACAAATTTATTTTTAAATTTCAATTTTCACTCCAAAAAGTTCACTGTTTCACATTTTTTCTAAATCATCAATTTTTCCCGCATTTTTTAGGTTTCAAATTTTTTTTCAAACAAAAATTCTGATTTCTAATTGATAATTAGTCATTTTTGTTACTTTCAATTCCAAGCTGAAATTCCAGATTTTCAGTTTAAAACCCTAATTTCAATGAAAACTAAGAGCTAAACACAAAAAAGTTCCAAGAAAACTCGAGAACTTTTCTAATTTCCTGGAAAAAAGTTCCAACTACTTTGGAACTTTTTTCCCGAAATTCGAATGCGAAAAAAATACCAGAATAACATTTCCAAGCTGATAAATCTGGAAAATATTTCAGGTTTCAGTTTTTTCAAAAACAAAATAATAAATCTGGAATCTGGAACATCTGGGTTCAAATTTAAAGGTCAAATTTTTTTAAAAAGATTTCTGAACTTCAAAATTTTTGTGATCAGAAATTTCTGATGAAACTTCTAGATGAACTTTTCTACAGTACCTTTTTCAAATTTCAGGCGCCAAAATCAAAAATTCAAAAATGTTTCGTATCAAAAAAAATTTGCTCTAATCTATCTGACCAATCTTTTCCAACAGGTGTTGTGTGGAGAAAAATTAGGCGCCAAAAAATTTTTTTCACAAAAAAAAAGTTTTTTGATTTATTTCCCGTCTCAAAAATGTGAATTTGTAGTATCTCACCAAAAACCTATGACTCTTTATTTTTCAGGTATCAAAAAAAATCTCAAAAAAAAAGTTTTTTCCGTGTATTTCTCTCGGAAAATAGTGATGTAGGTCGATTAATCGTCGGAAATTGTATCAAATAAATAATTCACTAGGAAATGTAAGTGTCTCAAATGTCTAACTAGAAAAAAAGATTAACCTGAGCAATGCTCACCGAGCTGATCAAAATTCTGTGAAAATCAGTGGAGCTTTGAGCTTCTTGATCAGCATAACATGAGCAATGTCCCTTTAGAAAAATTTTTGTTCAAAATTTTTTTTTGTTATTTCGACGCCTGGTTTTTTTGGGTAGTAAATAATGAATATAAATTAGCTTTGAGCACACGAAAAAACGCGGAAAACGTATTTTTTTGACTGACGAGCAATAAAAATTTTTGTGAGCGAAAAAAAATTTTTTTGAGAAAAATTATGGGTAAAATGACGAGAGGTGGGGGAAGAAAAAAGAGGAAAAATGTGATCAAAAATTTAGAAAAAAAGGTTGGATTACTGTAGGTTACTTTAGATTGTCTAGAGCATGACAATAATTGATCAAAAATGTAGGAAAACTTGTTTGGATTACTGTAGAATCACATTTTTGGCTCGAAAGCTCGGCAAAAAATCTAGAGTACTGTAGTTCAGAACCTCTTGGTTACTGTAGGTTTTCTAGAATTATGAACAAGGGTTACTGTAGAGTCCAAAACGTACCAAAAACTAATAGACTACTGTAGATGCCAAGAAAATCCAAATTTTGAACTCGGAAAAAATAGGTCCAAGAGTACTGTAACTCAAAAAATCCAGAATTTCCAAACAGCAAAGTTCAGTTTCTCAACTTAACCTAACTCCAGACTTTCCAACCTAAAAACCAATCAAAACTAAAATCAAGTACGCTCCACTGAACTTTTCATTTTTATTTCTCATTTATGGACTTATAACGTCACTTTTATAAAAGACTTAGCCTAACTCAGATCAAAAATTTTCTGTGTCAACTCTTCTGAACTTCCGGGAACTCCAAAAATACATCAAGATACCTACGTCAAAAATCTCATGCAAAAAAGTGCTCAAAAATGTTTTTTTTTTCGAAAAAAAGTGCCAGGCAAAAATCATAAAAATGTGTATATGTTTATAGTTTTTATGAGACAAAAGCAAGCAAAATGTTTTTTTTTTTTTGTGTTTCTGGAGCTTTTGGAGGAAAAAAAGTAGCAAAAAGAATAGGCGGACACAAACTTTTATATTAGGGACAAAGTTCAATGTGCTTGAGGCGGAGATTTTTTTGGGGAGAGATTTGATTTGGGAACTTGTATAGCTGGTTTTGGAAGTTAGCCTAAGTCCACATGAATTTGCAGAAAAATTAGAAGGATTTTCTAAATTTCCAGAAATTATATATCGAATATTGAAGTTAGCCTAAGTCCAGGAGGATTTTCAAACAGTTTTCAGAAATTTGGGAACCTTTTCTGATAAGCCTAGTTCATTTGAGTTAGCCTAAGTAAACTGATTTGTGGATCTACGTGGATTTCTGGAAGATCTGAATTTTCATAGATTTTAGATGGAAATTCTGATTTTCCAGAACTTCTAGAAGTTTTAGATGGATTTTCTGATCTTTCTAGAAGTTCCAAATAAAAGTTCTGAGCTCTAGAATCCATATGGCAACAAAATTTTGGCTTTAGAAACTTTTTTTTTGATAAATTTAATATTTTTTGCATAGCTGATTTGGAAGTTAGCCTAAGTTCTAGCAGATTTTTTCTAGATCTAAAATCCCTGTGGAGCAAAATTTTCAAAATCCCTAGAAAAAACTCACTCAAATCCCAAATTCAAAAATTAATTTTTAGCTTCATCTTCATATTCAAGATCCAAAATTTTCTGGAATTTTCTGAGAGTTGCTAGTCTAAAATTTCTAAATTTAACTCACTTTTCCCAAATTTTTAAAATTCAGCTGATTAGAAATTAAAATAAATTCAAAAAATGAGGAAGCCACATTTTTTCGCGGAAAAAATGTGTTGGCAAAAAAGTGGGTCACGTGAAAAAAATTATTTTTTGGAATTTTGAAACGTCAAGATTTTTTTTTTTTTTAAATTTAAGTCGAGAAAAACTTCAAAAATTTTCGGATGAAATTTCTGTAACCGATTGATTGTTTAATAAAGTTCATAGTTCAAAAAATTATACTCCTGAGCTTAAACCTGGAAAAATCCACAAATCCAAGTCTTCTAAAATTTTCAGCTCGAAAAATTCAAGCTCTAGATTATCTCTAGATATTCAAAATGTTTTTCAAGAATCATAAAGTTCCATCAAAAATTCAGTCAGCTCAAAAACTGCTATGAATAATTCGAGGAAAAATCCTAAAACACCTTATATTTTTCAGCTCAAAATTCTGAAAATCTGAAAATTCCAGCTCAAAAATCCGAGCTCAAATCCAAATTGAGCTCTCAAGAAAAAAAGAAGAGTTCACATCTAATTTTCTCATTCATGACGTCAGAAAAAATCAACAAGCAACTAATTTACTTCTAGGAACACCCTTTTAGGAGTACACGGCTTAAGGGTTATCCCGAGCCTAGAGATAGGCTCGGGCTCAGAAGTCAGGCTTAGGCTTAGGTTGAAGCTTAGGCCCGGCCGCTGCGCGGAAGCTTGCGGTCCACACTCGCGGCGGAGCCGCTTGGGCTCACGATTTGGGACAAGGCTTGAGTTCAAACCAAGGCCCAGCCGCTTCGCGGAAGCTTGCGGTCTACACTCGCGGCAAAGCCGCTCGGGTTCACGATTTGGGCCTAGGCTTGAGTTCAAACCAAGGTCCAGCCGCTTCGCGGAAGATAGTGCCGCTGCGCGGAAGCTTGCGGTCTACACTCGCGGCTACGCCGCTCGGAACACTTCTCAAAAGTGCACAGAGTCCCCCTAACTCTCATCAAAAAATCAATGCCTGGCCCAAAAACAACAAAAAAAGTATGTTTGAAGGCCCCAAGCTTCTTCTTCTTCTTCTTTTTCTCTATTCATTTTGCCTGCTGATCGTAATTGCTTCTGATGTAAACTTTCTTCGACTTTTTTTTTTGCAATTTTTCCTTCTCTTTTATTTATTTGTGTGCTCAAAAAAGAGCACACAAAAATAAATAAAAATAGAAGGCGACAAAAATAATTTTTATGAGAGTCTGTGGAATTTTATTAGGTGGCAAGAATTTTTTTTTTTTTTGAAAAAAAAATGAAATAAAAAAATTTGGAAACTGAAAGGGGAAGCTGAAAAATATTTAATTTCAGGTTTCGGTTTGGAAATGTCGAGCTAAAGTTAGCGAAAATCACAAGGCAGTGCAGATAACTTTTTTGACACGTGGAAATTTTTTTTAGAAATTTTCACTGTTTCAAAAAATTATGAACTAATTTTCATGAAATATTTTTTTTTGATGAATCAAAGCCGTTCTATTGATTTGGAATTAAAAGTTAATGAAAAATTTCACTGTTTCAAAATTTTGATAATTTTATTTTTTGAAAATTTAATTTCAGTAGGCATGGAGATCTAACTCTCAATAAGAATTTTAATTTTCCAAAATTTTCACTGTTTCAAAAAATTTTCATAATTTTGGTGTAAATGATAAATTTTGATTTGTTGCTTCGTTATTAACCCAACAAAAATTTTTTTTTTTACTGTTTCAAAATTTTTGATAATAAAATTTTTTGAAATTCAATTTCAGTAGATTAAAAAAATCGCGCCAATTTAAATTACAAAAAAAAAATATGAATTTTTCAGAAAAACTTTGATTTCTCACAATTTCACTGTTTCAAGAAAATGTGAAAATTTTGTAATGAAAATAATTTTAAAAATCGAAAAAACTAATTTGGTTCAAAAAATTCTATTCAACGAATTGATCAGTTTCATTTTGAAAAAAAATAAAATACAAAATTTTGAAACAGTAAAATTCTGTTTCTTGAAAATATATATTTTCTAACAATTTTCGGTGCAAAAATTAAGAAAAAAATTCACTGTTTTAAAAAAATTGTAAATTTTCGATTATTTTTATACGAATAATGCTCTTTTTTTCAGTATTTAAAAAAAAAAATCACAAATCTCACCTTGAAAATGTCCAAAAGAAATTCTCAAAAAATTCGCTGTTTCAAAAAAATTTCATATTTATTTTTAGAAATTTTCAATTTTGATGAATTCAACGTGTACCAAAACAAAAAAAAAAATACATTGATTTTTCACTGTTTCATAATTTTGATAATAAAATTTTTTTGGAATTTAATTCCAGTACGCATGTTGATGCACTTACAATTGAAATTTTAAAAAAGTGTTCTGAATTTTTTAAAAACATCTCAAAAATTCACTGTTTCAAAAATTTGTCATAATTTCATTCGGAATTTTTATTTTTGTTCACCCAATAATATATGAAATTTCCAAAAAAAACAATTTTCACGTGTTCTAAATTCTCACGTGACACCAAAAAATCCACATATTTAAAATTAGTCATTTTCGAATTTTATTTTCTAGAGAAAAATGTGGAAGAAACTGGCTGCGCCTTTAAAAACACAACATTTTAGGCTAATGATAAAATGCAATAGGGTGAGAGGAAGAGATTATTTGATTATTCGCGTGAACTCTTGTCTCCTCGCTTCATTTCTCAAAAAAAGAAGAAAAATAGTACATGTTGTGTATAGCGCATGGCCATTTGTTTGAAATGTCGGCAATACGTTTGAACGACCTCTCAGAAAATGTTTGAAAAAGTAGAATTCTGGTTATCATTTGAGCACGTTTGCCCACTAAAAACGTATGCTTTCTCTAGAATCTCTCTCCTCTCACCCAATTGCGTTTCGGAACGTTGTGAAAATCGACTAGAAATTGCGATTTTCAGCTATTTTTGAGGAAGGTCGGGAAAAATGTGAGTTTGGAAAACTACAGTACCTTCTAAAAATTGGCAGCAAAATCAAAAGTTCAAAAAATACACTAGCCAAGAACCTATAGCCAAAAACATGTTTTGATCTACCCATAAAACTACAGTAACCCAGACTTCCCAACTCTAACTAAAAATATCAACTTTTGAACCCAGAAAACCCGGAAACCAATATACATTTTCATATATGACATTTGTGTCCTTTACGAGTTGTGGAAGTTACCGGAAATGCTGTGCAAAAATTGGATTTTTTTTGGAATTGGGGAAATTTGGGACCTTAGGATTATTTTGACATTAAAAAATAGTGCGCAAAATTTTTGTGCCACCAAAAAAAGTGAAAAATTCAATTTTTCTCTGTGTGCGCAATGAAATTCCGCTGGGAAATATGATATAAAAAGTTTTTCGATTAACTGTGAGCCGCCGCTCAGAAATTTATTTATTTAATATGAGAAATATAATTAAAAAATTTGATGACGAAATAATTATTTTTTTTTTAACTCGAAAAAACTATAGTTAAAATGCTCAAAAAATGCTCAAAAAAGGTGTTGTTTTCGACGAAAAAACTGGGAAAAAAAACGGGAAGAATTTTTAAGAGGCCATTCTATTATTATATTATACACGACCTCCTAGTCAAAATAAAAATGGTCAAAAAAATGCTTTGTTTTGGGGCTCTACAGTAACCCAAACTGCACTATTTTTCACAATTTAGCCCTGGAAAACAAGCCTTAATGAAATGCCAAAACAATTGTTTTTCAAGAAATTTTTTTCGAAAATTTCCCCCTTCAATAAAACAAATCAACTTTTTCCCCCACTACAACTAACAAAAAAAAAGAAAAACACACATCTCTCATCGTCTCGCACTCTCTCATTTTCCCCCTTGTTTATCACGGCCATTTCCCCTTCGTTTCTCTACAGCCGTTCTGGCCGAGTGGTCTAAGGCGCTGCGTTCAGGTCGCAGTCCTCTCAGGAGGGCGCAGGTTCGAACCCTGCGGACGGCAAATCTTTTTTTTTTCGTTTTTTTTTTGCGCTTGTTCGCTTTGATGATGAAATGAGGCGACAAGTTCAAAAAATGCGTCATTTAAACGGTGAAGAAGAAGCGAAACTGGCTTTTGATTATTATCCCCAGAAAGATTTTAGTCATTTTGTTTCGTGGGAAGAATGCTGTGGCTAATTGTTGTCAAGACTAAATATTCTGAAATTTTCGAGGAGATTAGGACAGTGTTAGTGAAATTTTTGGGGGGAATTTTGGGGATTATGGGGGAGAAAATTGGGTGTTTCAGAGTGCAGAGATGAATTAGGGTTAGAGAGCGCAGAGAGGCTAGAGAGTGCAGAGAGGCTAGAGAGGCTAGAGACGGCTAGAGAGGCTAGAGAGTGCAGAGATGCAGAGCAGTTAGAGAGGCTAGATCAAAATTTGGGCCCGAATCTAAGGGTACTGTAGAGTTACTGTAACTCAAAACCTATAGCTAAATGTGTCTCTAGACTTTGGGTATACTGTAGCTAGAGGTACTGTAGAAATTTGGCATCAAACATTTTTCTCACCGCGAAAAAAATGCGCTAATTTATGACCTAGAAATTTCGAAAACAAATCATCCCTTTTTTCTCCTTTGATCTTGCCACACATTTTTTTTTTGATAAAAACCACGTTGTTTTCGCGCCGAAAAATATAGGATACTGTAGTTTTTGGCGCGCGAAAATATTTTCTATACTTTTCAAAAGTTGATTACCACCACTACTGAAAACAACACAAAACAGCTGACTTATTATTTTTTTTCTAGTTTCTAGTGAAAAAAAATAATTTTTTTTTGAAAATAAGTTATTTTTCTTCAAGAAGCTTGAAAAAGTCGCAAAAATATTTTTTCAAAAATTTTTTCACATAAAGTACGACGTTTTTGCACTATTTTCTTTAGAAAAAATTTTTTTGTAAAAAAAAAACTTTGTTTTGAGATAAATCACATGATTGATTGTTGTTTTGCGTGTTTTTTTTAATCAATTTTGAAAATTTCGATTTTTTTCGCGCCAAAAAATGCTACATTTTTTCTGTGTACTTCTCTTGGACAAGTTTTTCTCTCAAAATTCTTTAATAATTAATGCACTTTTTTACATTAGCCTAATTAAAATACTAAAAAAGTTTGTTGAAAAAATTTTTTTCTAGAATTTCTGATAGGATTTTTGTTTTGTACTTAGGCTAATTTCCTTACGCTCGTGTAGTTCTCGTGGAGGAAATTGGAATTATCGTAAAAATATTTCGATATTTTTTTCATTTTGTGTATTTCTCTCGGACAAGACGAGATTTTGAAAAAACATCATGATTGCACTTTGTATTTTTTTACAAAATGACGGCGATTTGAATTTTTTGAAAAAATTTTGCATAAAAACCCCCAAAAAACTCACATTTCCTCCAGTTTTCCTCGAAATTCAGAAATTTGACCAAAATTCGCTCCAATACTTGTTCCTCGATTTGTACCATTTCGCTGACGATGATCCTGTAAATTAGAAATCAGCAAAATCTCTATAAAGTACACCAAAAGTGAGAAAAATTCAAGAAAAACCATTTTTTCGTGAAAAAAGCTTTTTGAGCACGATTTTTAGTATAAAACTATCAAAAATCAACTGAAATTATGTTACTTGTCTTACAAGGGAAGTGCATAGGGTCAGGTGTTGAACTTTTGATGAAACGTTCGAAATATACCAAATCGACCATGCTGATCACGATTCCGAAGTCAAAAATTGCCACAAATCCCTGTGAGTACTTTTCTGGAGCCCCGAAGTTAGAATTGAGTTTTGGTTTTTGGCCATTTTCACCTTGTTCCTGGGTGGAAAATCAATTTTTATAACTTGAATAAGGTTGTTCACCACATTCGAAAACCTATCAGCTTTTTAGTTTTTCAAAAAATATGAAAAACCAGCTGAAAACTGTAATTTTTAAGAAAGTCCTGAAAATACACACAAACACACGTATACACACGCTTTTCAAAGTTTTTTGTGCATTTTTGAAAATTACAGTTTTCAGCTGGTTTTTCATATTTTTTGAAAAACTAAAAAGCTGATAGGTTTTCGAATGTGGTGAAAAACCTTATTCATGTTATAAAAATTGATTTTCCACCCAGGAATATGGTGAAAATGGGCAAAAACCAAAACTCAATTCCAACTTTGGAGCTCCAGAAAAGTGCTCACATGCATTTGTGGCAATTTTTGACTTCAGAATCGTGATCAGCATGGTCGATTTGGTATATTTCGAACGTTTCAGCAAAAGTTCAACACCTGACCCTATGCACTTCCCTTGTTAGAAAACGAGAAAAATATAAATTTAACAACAAATTTCATTCAAATTCATGAAAAAACAACAAAAATACGCGAATAAAACGTTTTCGAAAAATAAAAAAACAAGAAAACAAAAGTAGAAATGGAAGTGCGCTCTATTGATAAAAACAGTTTGTCGCGCGCTCTTTCAAAAATGTGTGTGTTGTCGTTGCGGTTTTATATTTTTTGTGTGGTTTTTTGTATTTAAAATGTTATTTTGTGTAGTTCTCTCGGAGTAATCTTAATTTTTTTGCGAAAATTCGAAATTTGAAAAAATTTCTGTGTACTTCTCTCGGAAAATTAGAATTTAGTCGCGAATTTGATATTTTCCAATTTTTCTTCCTGTGTAGTTCTCTCGGACAATGCAAATCCAGCTGCTTTCAACCTTTCAAAAGGTAATAAATATCTGATTTTCTGTGTACTTCTCTCGGACTAACATATTTCGGCGGGAAATTCAAATTTTTTCTCCTAATTTTTCTTCTAAAATCTGTGTACTTCTCTTGGACAACCTGATAATTTCAGGCGGGAAATCTGAAATTTTTGAATTTTCTCAAATTGTGTACTTCTCTTGGACAATCTGATTTCATTTTCCAATTTTTCTCCCCCGTGTACTTCTCTCGGACAACCTGTATTTTTGCGGAAATTCAAAATTCTTCCTAATGTTTCTTCTGAAATATGTGTACTTCTCTCGGACTAACATATTTTGGCGGGAAATTCAAATTTTTCTCCTAATTTTTCTTCTGAAACCGGTGTACTTCTCTTGGACAACCTGATAATTTCAGGCGGGAAATCTGAAATTTTTGAATTTTCTCAAATTGTGTACTTCTCTTGGACAATCTGATTTCATTTTCCAATTTTTCTCCCCCGTGTACTTCTCTCGGACAACCTGTATTTTTGCGGAAATTCAAAATTCTTCCTAATGTTTCTTCTGAAATATGTGTACTTCTCTCGGACTAACATATTTTGGCGGGAAATTCAAATTTTTCTCCTAATTTTTCTTCTGAAACCGGTGTACTTCTCTTGGACAACCTGATAATTTCAGGCGGGAAATCTGAAATTTTTGAATTTTCTCAAATTGTGTACTTCTCTTGGACAATCTGATTTCATTTTCCAATTTTTCTCCCCCGTGTACTTCTCTCGGACAACCTGTATTTTTGCGGAAATTCAAAATTCTTCCTAATGTTTCTTCTGAAATATGTGTACTTCTCTCGGACTAACATATTTTGGCGGGAAATTCAAATTTTTCTCCTAATTTTTCTTCTGAAACCGGTGTACTTCTCTCGGACAACCTGATAATTTCAGGCGGGAAATCTAAAATTTTTGAATTTTCTTAACCTGTGTACTTCTCTCGGACAACCTGAAAATTTCAGGCGGGAAAAAAAAACATTTTTTTTTAATTTTCTCAATCCGTGTAGTTCTCTCGGACAATCGTCAAATTCAGCTGCCTCAAAAAAAAAACAAGGAAGTGAATCTGTGTAGTTCTCTCGGACCAAAACATGGATTTTCGAACCCATATATATATATGTGTCTGTCTGTGTAGTTCTTCCGGACAACACGCCCCCCTCACACACTTTTACTCTTTCTCTCTCTGCCACTCTGCGTCTCTCCAACTCTCCAACTCTCTCGTTGAAGGCTTGGAACAATGAGAATGAATGAGAGAGAGTTTATTGTGTCCGTTTTCATTTTGCTGCTTCTGCTGAAATTTCTTATTTTTTAGTTATGACGTGGCAAGATTTAGCCTAAGTTAGCCTAAGTTTTTCCGAGTAATGACGTGGCAAAAGTGTGTGTTTTTTTCTCCTAGGAACCAATTGACCCAATTTTTAGAAATTTTTTGTTTTGTTGGAAAAACCAACCTCACCTTGACACTTTTTTTTTGTTTCACGCCTGCCTCGAAACATTCCAAAATTTTCCGAGCGCTTTGCGCGAGTGTAGACCGCAAGCTTCCGCGCAGCGGCACAATCTTCCGCTTCAGCGGAAAGGCTAAATTTTGAATTTTGAATCTCCCGCCTAAAATGTTGATTGTCCGAGATTGTCCGGGAGAACTACACAGATTTACATTTTTTTTTTTGAAAATTTTGAATTTCCCGCCGAAATTTGAAATTGTCCGAGAGAAGTACATAAATTTAGAAAATTCAAAAATTTCCGATTTCTCGCCAAAAAATGTTAGTCCGAGAGAACTACATAGATTAACTATTTTTGAAAACTTTGAATTTCCCGCCAAAAATGTTAGTCCGAGAGTAGTACACAAAAGTTCAAAATTTTCAATTGCAAATTTTAATTTCGTGTAGTTCTTTTGGACAAAAATTTGGCGGGAGATTTGAATTTTTAAATTTTCTGTAGTTCTCTCAGCGAATCCTGTGTACTTCTTTTGAACAATAATAACTTGGCGCGAATTTAAATTTTCATTTGAGATCCCGTGTACTTCTCTCGGACAAGAATTTTCAACAAAAAAATGTTTTTTTAATTCATAATTTTTTCTGACGTAAATAAGTAAAACCCACATGTTTTTCTGTAAAATTTTCGAAATTTTGAAAATAAAAACAAAAATGCGTGGGTTTTCAGTTGATTTATCTCGAAAAAATATGAATGACTCAAAAAAATGTGTGTTTTGTGTACTTCTTTTGGACAAATAATTTTGGAGGCGGGAAATTTGAATTTTTCATTGAAAATTGAACTCTTGTGTACTTCTTTTGAACAATTTTTTGGCGCGAATTTAAAACATTCAAATTTTGCGTGGGTTTCTAATTGATTTTGTTTTTTTTTTCTAGAGAAAAACATGAATAACTCAAATTTTCTATTTTTTTTTGACGAAAAAAAAAGTTAAACGTTTTGCGGCTTTTTGTCTAATTGGACAATTAGTTGAACACACTTCGTTTCTCCAACAAAATTTTTTTTTCCGACAAAAAAATGTTGTTCTTTTCGAAAATCTATTCATTTTCCCTTGCTGTTTTGTTGTTCTGGAGATCAAAAATTATATTTCATTTTTTTTTGTAGATCAAAAATGCCACTCGATTTCAATTTGATGTTTTTGCTGAAAGGATTTGTGAAGACGATGGAGAAAATGGTGGGTCTTTTTAAAAACGATTAATTTTTGGCGGGAAAAAAATTGAATTTTAAAATTTTGAATTCTAAATCATGCAGCTAGATCAAAAGCCTAAAAAGCCTAAGCCTAAGCCTAATAAGCCTAAGCCTAATAAGCCTAAGCCTAATAAGCCTAAGCCTAATAAGCCTAAGCCTAATAAGCCTAAGCCTAAGCCTAATAAGCCTAAGCCAAAAAAATTGTTCCTAAAATTCCCGGCTACCGTATTCTTGATCACAATATTTTTTTTTTGCAAAAAAAATCTAAAACTACATTTTTTGTCTCAAAAACAATAATTTTTTGTAGTTTTAATCCAGGTGACTCAGGATTACTGTTGGGCCCAAAAATTTTGAAAACGTTGAAAAAAAATTATTTGAGTAGATCAAAGATCAAAAAATTCAGAAGTCCAAAAATCTAGTTCTGAAGATGCCTGGGTTACTAGGTAGATCAAAGTTTTCGCGCCAAAATTTTAAATTTAAAAAACGAATGTTTTTTCTGGGTTACTGTAAGTAGATCAAACTTTTCTTTGTTAACCCGAATCAAATTAAAATACCGGTCCGTAATTTCAATTTTAATTATCATTGACTTGAAAAAATCAAGTTAGTCTAAGTTTTTTTGTTAGTTTTGTCTGTCATCTCCCAAATGTCCTTCCTTTTTTCATTTTCTCGCGCTATCTCTGCGTTTCTTCAAATCACACACTCTCTCGCTCGCCTCTTTTGGACATATGTGTAGTTTCTTTCTAATCACATGGAAAATTGTTGGACACAAAATAAATACTTGATTTTTCATTTGGTTATTTTTTTTCGGCGAAAATGTTTGGAGAACGAGTGAGTTTTACTAACTCGGGAAATTTTGGGCTACTGTAGGCTAGGTAGATCAAAATTTTTGGCGCGAAAAAGTGATTTAAAACAATTGAGAAGGTCAAATTTTGTGACGTCAGAAAAAATTTTGTTTGAAAATTTTCTGAATTTGGGTTGTTTTTTGGTTACTGTAGGTACGATAAGGATTTTCGGCGCCGAAAAAATTAATTTGGAATATTTCGCAACAATAAGAATTCGTGGAATGATGTAGATACTGTAGATTACTGTAGATCGAGTATTTTAGAGTACTGTAAGTGAATTATTAAAGTACTGTAGGTAGATCAGAATTTTTGAGCGCGAAAAAAATTGTTTTTAAATTCTTAAAATCTGAAAACGCTGTTTTTTTTTATTTTTAAATTTTTCCCGCCAAAAACCCCCATTTCAAACTAAAAACAATTTTTTAAAAACCTTTTTCAATACAAAAAAATCTACTGTTTCAAAAATTTTACAAGTTTTTTTCAAATATTCTAGAAATATTCAATGATCAACCAAATATTTTTCACTGTTTCAAAAATTTCTTATAATTTTGAAGATCGAAGAATTTTTCAATCAACAAAACTACTATTGTATCAAAAAAAATTTAAAGAATTCTAGAAATCTCCAATTTCAATGCGAATTTTTTTCACTGTTTCAAAAATTTCATAATTTTTTGAAGATTGTAGAATTTTTCGATAACAAAAAATGATCCTTGTATCAAAAAAAAATTCTAAAAATTCTAAAAATCTCCAATCTCAATTCGAATATTTTTCACTGTTTCAAAAATTTCATAATTTTTTTAAAGATTGTAGAATTTTCAATAACAAAAAGCACACTTGCATCAAAAAAAAAAGAATTCTGTGCCCTAAAAATCTCTCAAAGTTTGAATGGTCCCCACGAAAAATGCTCAAAATTTCCAGCATTATCGATTTTTCGCCATCTCCTTGCTCATTCACACTCTAATTTATGGCTTGGGTCATTTGGCTTTCGAGCCAGCCGAGCTTTTCGAAGCCTACTTGGTGGATTTGGCGTTGTTGGCATTCTGTGTATTCGGAACTGCGAGGAAAATGCCAATTTTGATTTTGCCAAGTGTTATTGTTAAGGTGAGGGATTTAGAGGAACTTGTGGGCCTTTTTTTGATGATGACGTGGATTTTTAGTTAAAGGAACTCTTGGGGATACGTAGATTTGTTTTTGGTGATATTTGTGAATTTTTTAGTTTTGCATTGGGAATAAAATTGTTTTTTCTCATCAAAAAATTAAGTTTTCATGAGAATTTGAAATCAAAAAGATTTTTGAACCTTGAACTTTTCAAAATGTTTTTTTCTCAAGTTTTCTGGCGCCAGAAACATGAATTTTTGATTTTTTTTGCAGCTTTGAAATTGTGGGGAAAAACATCTGAAAATCTACTGTTTCAAAAATTTGTCCTTTTTCATGTGAAAAAATTCACTGTTTCAAAAATTTTATATTTTAATTTCAAAAATTAAAAAAATACTGTTGCTGCCACATTCTGGTGTTTTGAAAAAAATCCCTTCTATTATTTTTTGGCCGAAAATTAATTGAAAAATTTTTTACTGTTTCAAAAATTTGATATAATTTTCAAGGTTGTAGAATTTTCCAATCAACTTGACCCTTTCTATTTGTGAGCAAGATAAATTTCAATCAAAAATTTTCCCTTTCAAAAATTCACTGTTTCAAAAATTTGATATAATTTTTAGGATTGTGAAAATATTCAATTTGATTGAAATTTTCAGTTTTCGGTTCCAAGAATTATTTTTACTGTTTCAAAAAATGCAATAATTTTATTTGAGTCTAAAACTTTTCAATTTTTCAAGTGAAAATGAGAATTTCAAACACTTTAACCAAAAATTTCTTCATTAAAAATTCACTGTTTCAAAAATTTGATATAGTTTTCAACAATTTTTTAATTTTTTTAATTGACATTCTATGTATCTCTCAAAAAAAATAATTTTTCACTATCAATTTCTCAAAATTATTTTCACTGTTTCAAAATTTTGACATATTTTTCTTAACAGTAAGGAAAGTGCTAACCAGTCCGTAATAAGGTTTGAATAAAAACTTTTTTTCAATTTTTATTTCAAATTTGTCAAATTATCAAGTGAAAAATGGATTAATTCAAAAATTCACTGTTTCAAAAATTTGATATATTTTTCAAAGTTGTAAAATTATTCAATTAGTCGTGTTGTCTTGAAATTTTGTGAAAGGAAATTTAGGAATTTTCGGTTCCAGAATTTTTCACTGTTTCAAAAAATTCATAAATTTTCACGAGTAAATCTAGTTTTTTAATTCCATAAAACTTTGCAAATATAAAAACGCTGAAAAATTGACCTAACATTTTTTTCTAATCGTGTTTAGACTCATTTTAAAGCTCAAAAAATCTTCATTCAAGATAAAACAACACCAAAAGGAACTCTCAAAAATCTCAAAACCCCCACATTTTTCATTTTTCGCTTATTCTCACAAAGCAAAAATTGTCGATAAGGTCGATGCATAAAAATCATCGAAATCGTCTGAAAACTTCCATGCATACAAAAAATCAACACTCCAAAATTATTCAATTTCTGATTATAAACCTCGAAAAAATACGCATAAGCTAAATATGAAACCGGAAAAAATAGGCCGATTGCTGGAATTGTGATTTGCAAACATGTTGAGATAAATACTTTTTTCTGCAATTTTCTCGTCGCTGGACTTAGGCTAATATCATATTTGAAATATAAATGATAATAAGTTTGACCGGAGAAATATAGAACTTGAATTATTATAATAGTAATATATCCAGCTCCAAGTAATGTTATCTGAAGTGGATTTAGCGCAACTACAAGAATATCTTGCGAATAAATTGTTGAAGTCCATAATAAACACGGCAAAAATCGCTCAAAAATGAGAGACTTTGCTGAACTCTGCTCTGGGATCATTGAGAAAAATATTGTTAGTAATATCAGGGATACCAGGCAATTTGTGAGATAAGTTAAGATTTGAATGATTTTTGAGGATTTCGCGGATTTCCGGGAAATTTGGAAATACCGATTTTGCATTAGAGAGGGAATACAACAGACGGCTGTTAGGAGAATGTAGTAGGCGATGATGGTTTGGTGAAGAATTGAAATTTTGAAGTGGGTTAGAAGGCCTGGAATTGAATTTTGTATCAAAATGCTCTAAAAATGAGCTGCAGAGCTCAAGGGGGAGCTGAGAAAATGATAAAATGGTGCAGGTGGTTAATGCTTAGATTTCTAATTTAGAGGTGGCGAGTTCGATTCCTGCTCGCTGCGAGGATTTTTGTAAAAAAAAAGAAGTTCGCAGCGAGTGGGAATCGAACCCGAGACCTCTAAATTAGAGATGTAGGCACTAACCGCCTGCGCCACTGGGTATGCTTGACACAAAACTTTTTTGTACTTCTCTCGGAGGATTTTTAACTAGACAATGAAAATGTTCTTCTTGTGTAGTTCTCTCGCACAAAAAAACCTAAATTTGGCGCCAAATTTGAATTTTTGAATTTTCAAAAATAATTGAGAACTTGTGTAATTCTTTTGGACAAAATTTTGGCGCGAAATTTTAATTTTCAAATTTTTAAAACAAAAATTGAGAATCTGTGTAATTCTTTTGGACAAAATTTTTGGCGCCAAATTTGAATTTTTGAATTTTCAAAAAATAATTGAGAACTTGTGTAATTCTTTTGGACAAAATTTTGGCGCCAAATTTGAATTTTTGAATTTTCAAAAATAATTGAGAACTTGTGTAATTCTTTTGGACAACATTTTGGCGCGAAATTTAAATTTTCAAATTTTTAAAACAAAAATTGAGAATCTGTGTAATTCTTTCGGACAACTTTTTGGCGCCAAATTTGAATTTTTAAATTTTCAAAAAAAAATGAGAATCTGTGTAATTCTTTTGGACAGAATTTTTGCGCAAAATTTGAATTTTGAGCAGAAAATTTGAAAATTAGAAAAAACTGGGCCCAAGCCTGAGCCCGAGCGCTTTGCGCGAGTGTAAGCCACAAGCTTCCGCAAAGCGACCAGGCCTAAGCCTGAAGCCCCGAAGTTCAGGCTCAAGCCTAGAAGCCTTCCCCCTCCCCCTCCCAAGCCCAAAAAACTCTTACCAAGTGAAAATCCGGCCGGAGCTGGTGCCAACAAAAACGGTATCGATAGCACTGTCAAATCAAAATCCAGTGCAAAATTACAAAAACACGACAAAATCATGATAGGTTTCATGGTTTTCAGACGAATTGGTGTCAAAAAAATGACACAATAAAATCCGAAAAAATGAACGGGAATTGAGAAAATTGCGATGAAATGCATGAGAGATGTGAGGAATTCTGGAGAATCCAAATAGCTTTTTTGATCTGCGCTCAATGAGCAAGAACTCATCATATGACAATGAAAATGAAAATGAAAATGAGCAGCAGGTTTTTTTGAGCTAGAGAGAAATTGGCTATAGGGAAAAAAAAAGGAAATTAGCTGTTTTCACGTAGATAATTAGAAATAACATAGATAGATAGACAACAAAGTTTTGATCTAGAGAAAAACAATTTTTTGATCTTTAAATTCATTAATTAAGAGTTCTCTGAAACTAAAACTAGATATTCTGTGAATCAAATTAATTCTGAAAACTCACAAAAAAAAATCTAATATTTTTGAAACAGTAACATTTTTCAAAAAAAAAATATTTTTTAATTCTCACAAAATTTCACTGTTTCAAAAAATTCAAATAATTTCTTTGAAAATATTCAATTTTGATAGAATAAGGCAATTTACGAAAAATATAGCTATGACGTGGCAAATTTGGAGTACTGTAATTATTTTCAGAGATCTAAAAAAAATTCTAATATTTTTGAAACAGTGAAATTTTTCAAATATTACTTTCCTGAAATTTATCGTTATGAGTTTTTTTTTCGAAAAAATTGGAACTTTTTTGTTACAAAACTTCACTGTTTCAAAAAAATTCAGATATTTTTTTTGATAATATTTAATTCTATTCCATTGGCCAAATTAACTGATAAATTTGTTTTCTATAATTACAATAATTCGCTAATACTATAGTTATGACGTGGCAAATTTGGAGTACGGTAATTATTTTCAGAGATCCAAAAAAATTCTAATTTTTTTTGAAACAGTAATTTTTCAAGTGTTATTTTTTAAAAAATTAATCATTATAATTTTTTTTTCGAAAAAAAATTGGAACTTTTTTGTTACAATATTTCACTGTTTCAAGAAATTCTGATAATTTCTTTGAAAATATTAAAATTTGATTAACATGTGTTACTTTTCAAAACATAATTCCTGGGATAATTATTCCAGAATTCCCTATTTATTCGAAATATAGTTATGACGTGGCGAAATTGGAGTACTGTAATTATTTTCAGAAATCTAAAAAAAAATCTAATTTTTTTGAAACAGTGATTTTTCAAATATTATTTTCCAGAAATTCAAAATTGAGATGAAAAAAATTCAGAAAAATTCACTGTTTCAAAAAATTCAGATATTTTTTCTGAAAATATTTAATTTTGATTTAACTAGCATTCACAAAATAACGGATAATTTTATTTTTAAAAGTAACTTCGACAATAATTCGCCAAAAATATAGTTATGACGTGGCAGAATTGCTGTAATTATTTTCAGAGATCCAGTTTTTGAAACAGTAAAAAATTTCAAATATTACTTTTGTAGAAATTTATCGCTATGAATTTTTTTTTCGAAAAATTTTCGATATTTTTTATTACAAAACTTTACTTTTTCAAAAAATTCGGATAATTTCTTTGAAAATATTCAATTTTGATTGAATTAGGCAATTTTTGAAAAATTATCGCTATGAATTTTTTTTCGAAAATTGTTAGAAATTTTTTTTTACAAAACTTCACTGTTTCAAGAAATTCGGATATTTTTTTGAAAATATTCGATTTTGATTAGCATGTGTTATTTTTGAAAAAATCATTCCTGGGATATTTATTCGAGAATTCTCAATTCATTCGAAATATAGCTATGACGTGGCAAAATTGGAGTACTGTAATTATTTTCAGAGATCTAAAAAAATTCGAATATTTTTGAAACAGTTAAATTTTTGAAATATTACTTTCCAGAAATTTTTCTTTATGAGTTTTTTTTTCAAAAAAATATTACAAAATTTTTTGTTACAAAACTTCACTGTTTCAGAAAATTCGGATAATTTTTTTTGAATAAATTCAATTTTGATTGACTTAGCCAAGTCGTGAGAAATATAGCTATGACGTGGCAAAATTGGAGTACTGTAATTATTTTCAGAGATCCAAAAAAATTCTAATTTTTTTTGAAACAGTGAAATTTTTCAAATATTACTTTCCAGAAATTTAAAATTGAGATGAAAAAAATTCAGAAAAATTCACTGTTTCAAGAAATTCAGATATTTTTTTTGAAAATATTCAATTTTGATGGGTTCGGCCTCGATAAATAATACAAAAAGTTATGTTTTGATTCTGGGAAATTTGAGAAATCCTAATTTTTTCCTCTCCCAAAAAATACAAAAAAAAATATTTTCCAGACCTTCCTAGTCGCCGTTGCTGTAATCGTCTCAATGATGTGTTTATCCAACATGAACATTGATGAAAAAACGCGCGAAGATCGAATGAAATTCCGAAGACAACGAAATTATCCGGAAGTCATCAATATTCTTCTGGAAGATCATCCATCAGTTTGTATTTGGATTTATTTGGTGATGACTTTGGTGGTTTTGGATTTGAGCAACGCTTTTAAAGCTTTGTATGGATCTTGTGATTGTTTGAACCGGAAAAAGGAGGAGATTGAGGTGGGATTTTGGAATTTTTAAATTTTACTTTACCATCAAAAATTGAACATTTTCCTGTGAAAAGTTTTCATTTTGAATTTGAATCTCAATTTTGTTCTGAAAATATTGGATAAATATTTTTTTGAAATTCTGAAATATTTTTCAAAATTCTGAAATATTAAAATTGAATTTTCTTAATTTGAAAATTCCACATGGCTCTAGATTTTTCAGCAACTGAAAATTTGAATTCTGAAATTCCACGTGGCACAAATTTTCAGTTTTGAAATTATGAATTTTTGGATTCTGAAAATCCACGTGGCACATTTTCAGTTTCCTCGCCAAAAATCCCCCAGAACTTAGCCTAACTCAATCAACTTTTCATTTCCAGAAACCTCCCAGCTACTCAAAATGCGTCTCAAAATCCCAACCTCCACCAACCTACTCCGAAGCCATTCGCCTTCAGAATCTCAACAAAAACCTGTCATCAGATCCAAATTTTCACGTGGTATAACCTTAACTTAACGACCTTAAAAATTAGGGTATTTTTAAGGTTTTTTAAGGTTTCCAAAATTTTCTGTGATTTTTTTTCTTGTTTTATTTCTATTGCCAAATCTCACTTGTACATATATTTTTTTTTGAAAAAAAAACCTAATAAATTTTTGATTCTCTGAAAAAAGTGGTTTTTTTTTCTGAAAATCAATTGTACCCCAATTTTTTGATGAAAAATTGGATTTTTTTTGGCGGGTAGATTAAAAATTGTATTTTTGTTCACAGGAACTTTGAGGACTTCAACAGAAAAAAAAAATTTTTTTTAGAGGGGAAATTGCATTTTTGACGTGTCAAAAATGAACTGTACTTTTTGGCGGGAAAAATTTCAGTTATTTTTGAGCACAAAAAATTTAGGAATTTCTGAAGCCACGTGTTTTTCTTTTTTTTTTTGAGATTTGAATTTTTAAATTTTAATCATTTCTGAATTTATTCAATTTTCTAATATTTTTCAGAAAACTTCAAAGAAATGAGCTGAATTTTTGGTTTTTCAGTGAGTTTTTGGGCCGAGCTTGAAGTTTTTGCCAGAATATTTGGGCTCCAGAAATTCTGGAGCTTCTGGAGCCCAAAAATGATTCAGCTGAATTTTTCTACAAGTTCAGCCCGCCCGAAAAATCAAATTATTTTCTCTTCAAATCCAATTTTTCCCGCCGAAAATTCCAGTTTTACGTGGATTTTTCCAAAGTTCCTGCAACTTCCACCCTCGCTTTCATTTTTTGTTGATAAACAGGTCAGAAGTTCGATGCCGGGTGGGTGTGGGAAATTTTGTTTTGCTGGAGAAAAACATTTTTGGCACGTGGTTTTTCTCGAGCGCCAGGCCAGGCCTACGCCTAAAACCCGAGCCAGCAGGCTAGATTCGGGCCTGAGATCAGCCTAAGTCTAATCGAGGCCCCCAGGCTAGAAAATATTCGAATTTCAAAATTTTGGACCTAAAAATTCAAATTCTGAAATTAGAAAAACGTTTCTCAGCTTCAGAATCTTCAACCATCAAAAAATAAAAAAAAATTCAGAATTTCAGATTCCAAAAAATATCAGTTCAGGATCCATTTCCAGCTTCAAAATCCTTTTCTCAATTTCTGAATTTAACAAAGTTTTCCAGCTTCAAAATTCACTGAAAAATCTAATGCTTTATGAAAAATTGAAAATTCAGAATTTCAGATCCCCAAAAAATATCAGTTCCAGATTCCATTTTCAGTTTTGAAATATCGTTTTCAATTTTTGAATTCAACAAAGTTTCCTAGCTTTAAAACTGATCTTTTGAAGTTTCAGAATTTTAGATCCCAGAAGTTCCAGTTTCAGCTTCAAAACCCCGCCAAAAATTGAGCTTTTCCTATCTATTTCCAAGACATATTTTATTTTATTTTATTCCATTTTCCATCGCCTCCTTCTTCTTCATTTTTCTTGAGAGCTCATAGTGATTACCGGTTGCCAGGTGATTTCAGTTTTCGTTTTCCTTTTCAATATTCTACCTATTCACATTTTCTTATTCCCTTCTTTTTCTTTTCTTCTCGCCTTTTGCTGATTGTTTTCGTAGGCGAAAAAGAGAGAGAGAGATTTACTCACATGTTAGATTATTATTTTATTATTTTATTGTTGTGCCTTTTTAGGTGATATGCTTATACTTTGCGGTGATTTAGGTTAAGTTTGTAGGAGTTCCGGGTTTTGGGAATTTTGAAAGATCAGTTTTGTATTTTGAGAAAGATCTGAATTTTAGCTAAATTCAAGGTTAAGCTTTAGGTTTAGGCTCTAAGTTTAAGCTTCAGGTTTAGGCTCTAGATTAAGCTGAAAACCTTATTTGTCTCCAACTTTAGCTTCTAGCCTGATTATAAGAGTCTGTAAGTTCTAATTATGAATTGAAAGATCACTTTTGAAATTTAGAACATTTTATATGTTTTGAGTCTTGGGGGTCCGAAAATGTTTCACTGCTAGATGTAATCTTTCTCAAGCAGCCAACCCTATGCAATGCTGTTCCGAAGGTTTCATCGCTAGACGAAACTTCTCTCAAGCAACCAGTCCTATCCAACTATCTTACCAAGCCTCCACTGCTAGTCGAGGCCTTTCCCAAGCATCCAACCCTAAGGCTCCACCACTAGTCAAACCCTGTTTCAAACAGCCAACCCTACTCAGCCCCCTCCCCGCAAGCCTCCACTACTACCCAAGCCCTTTTACAAGCAGCCAACCCTATCCAACTCTCTTATCAAGCCTCCACTGCTAGGCAAAACCTCTATCAAGCAGCCAACCCTATCCATTTCTTTTCCCAAGGCTCCACTCCTAGCCAAGCCCTCTCACAAGCAGCCAACCCTTTGCAATCCTCTCCTCAAGACTTCACCACTAGTCAAGCCCTCTTACAAGCAGCCAACCCTACACAACCCTGTTCCCAAGGCTTCACCACTAGTCAAGCCCACTTTCAAGCAGCCAACCCTACTCAGCCCCTTCCCAAATTCTTTTCTGAAGTTTTATTGACTACTTCCAAATTTGGGCTATTTTAAGGTTAAGCTCCCCAGAGTCCAATTAAAAATCTTCAATTTTAGACCAAAATATCAAAAACCTAGAATTCTGAAATTCTGAAAATAGATGTAGATCGGAAGATCAATTTTCTGACAAATTTTTGAATATTTTAAAAATCTCAAAAAATGTTCTCTGAACTTTTTTCTCAGCACTAATTAATGAGCTCAAAAAATCATCAAAATCAAATTTCAAAAAAAAAAAAAACTTCCAGCTGACTTCCACTAACTCTATCAAATTTCCCCGCAGAACAAATCAAAAACCACCTATTATCTATCATTTGGAAGGAAAAACAAGCCAAAAAAATTCCGGGAAAACTCATTTTGCAGATGTTTTTTCTCCATTTCTGTGATTTTGCTTTCTGCCACGTCATAACAAATTGCCACGTGGCAAATCAAAATGTTGTTTATTTATTTTTCTAATTTTTTTTGCTGGTCACGTTTTTCAGCCATAAGCCGTGCTCATTTTAAATTAACTTTTTTTTCAAAGATTGACCAAAAACGGGCACCGCAAAGTAAACAAATACTAAAATCTCTTTTTCTTTTTTTCGCTCATTTTCTTGAAAATTTCCGAAATTGTGTTAGAAATTACATTTTATTGTAGTTGTGTGTAGTACTCGAGGAGAAGAAGAAGAAGAAAAAAGGGGGTTACCACGGTGATACTCGAAATCCAATCTCCCCCATTTTCTTCGTTTTTCTTATTTTTTTTTCATTCTGAATTTTATCAGGAGTTGGTTGAAAGGTTCATTTGCTCTCTAGAAGTCTGTCTTCTCTACTTCTCACCTGATCTTGTGCTCTCTAACCTTTCTGTTCACTAGATGTCTGGTTTCTCTGCGTCTCTAGTAGTTTGCTCTCTCTTCTTCTCGCCTGATCTTGTGCTCTCTAGATGTCTGGCTTCTCTGGGTCTCTCAAGTTCGTATGATCTCTAGGTGTCTAATTTCTCTGGCTTCTCTGCATCTCTTACAGTCTCTCATAGGCTGGTTTCTCTACTTCTCGCCTTATCTTGTGCTCTCTACCCTCTCTGATTTCTAGATGTCTGGCTTCTCTGCGTCTCTCAAGTTCGTATGATCTCTAGATGTATGGTTTCTCTGGCTTCTCTGCGTCTCTCAAGTTAGTATGATGTCTATATGTCTGGCTTCTCTACGTCTCTAGCTTTCCGGTTTATCTGCTTCTCGCTTTATCTTGTGCTCTCTAACCTCTATGCTCTCTAAATGTCTGGTTCCTCTGCGTCTTTCTAACTTCTATGCTTTCTGGATGTCTGGTTTCTCTGCGTATCTCAAGTTCCTATTTTCTCTAGATGTTTAGCTTCTCTGCGTCTCTAGATGTCTGGTTTCTCTGGCTTCTCTGGTTTCTCTGCGTCTCTCAAGTTTGTATGCTCTCTAGATGTCTGACTTCTCTGCGTACTCTCTAGTTTCTGTATTCTCTAGATGTCTCTGGCTTCTCTGTGCCTCCCCTCTATCTCTACACTCTCTCACTGTCTGGTTTCTCTCGGTCTCCCCAATCTCTACGCTCTTTCTAACTGTCTGGTATATCTCTTGCTCTCTAACTTCTCTGGACCTCTTGAGATTTAATACTATTTCATTCATAATCAAATTTCGAAACAAAATCCAAAACCAAAAGATTTTTGATCGACCGGATTACCGAAAAAAAACTCAAAGCCAAACAACAATGATAATCTTTATTATGCATTGTCTGGATGTATGACTTCTCTGCGTCTCTCTAAATCCTGTGATCTCTAGTCATCTTCTTTCTCTGATTCTCTGCGTCTCTCATCATCCTGCACTTTCAAATCACCCAATTCAGATTTTGATTTCAATTTCTTTTCTCATCCTCTCTCATTTTCCCACACTCTCTCGCCTTATTTTTCGTTATTTTCATTTTTATGTGGAGTTACGTCAACTCTATAATTATATGAGCACGGTGTTTCATTTTTATTTGAAAATTGATTGTTTGCCGCCCATTTTTTCTGTTGGTCTACCGTACTTTTCTCTAATCCTAGAGAGGATTATGTACAATTTTTTTCACTGAAAAATGTCTGAAAATCTATATCTATATCTATATCTATATAATTTTTTTCGATTGAGAGAAAAAATGAAGAATATAATTTGTAGTGATATAGTTATTAAGCGGCCATTGAAAAAAATATGGATTTTTTTCTGGCGATGCGATGCGAAAAAATTGTGTATAGTCGGGGGGTTTTTGTTGATTGGAATGGGATGAGATGGGGTGTTGTTTGTTGAGTGACTGATTATTGAACACTTTTTTTGGCTGAAAATCATTGATTTTCAGATTCATTTTGAAGCTGTAGGTTTCTGGCTTAAAATTAGCTGAAATTTATTGATTTTCCGGGGAGAACTAGTTGAAAATATAGGTTTTCTCATTTTTTCTCAAAATTTCTGATCTACAGAACATTTTATTGTTAGGTTCAATTTTGAAGTAGTAGGCTTTTGGCTGAAAATTATTTATTTTTCCTTAAAATTTCGATCTAAAAAAACCAATTCAAAGTTAAAATAATTTCAAATTGTTCAAAAATTCTGAATCATCAATTTTTGAACCAAAATCAATAAAATAACAGAATTCTTAAAATCCACGTGGCAGGCACTAATTTTTAGTTGAAAATTTCGATCTACCTATGAATTTTTGATTTTCTGGTCTGAAAAATTGTTATTTACCCTAGAACTATTGATTTTTAATGGAAATTTTTTAAAAAATTGTTTTTTTTTTGCTAAATTTACAGCCTGAAATTAAACTTTTGAACTGTGATTGTAACCTTACATTAATTTAAAATTTCAAGAATTATCGATTTTTGGTGCCCAAATTTCCGAACTTGGAAATGTTTGTAAACTTCTATCTACTGTAATTCTTATTATTGATTTTTTCTTACTTCTGATCTACAATATTTTCTAATCTACCGTACTCTACAGTACTCTTCTAGACCTTTTCTAGCCACCTTTTTTCCCTACTTCAACCCCTCTTTTTTCTGCCAAATCTGTCTTTATTTCTTTTCAAAGCTCCGCCCATTTTCGTATCAAAAAAATCCTTCGACAGAAGAAAATGTGTACTTTCCCCCATTTTTGTCTCATTTTCATTTTTTCCCCTCAAATCCGCGGTATTCATATTATTATTATTATTAATGAATCAGCTAATCCACATTTTTTCTCTTTTTTTCTTCTTCTTACCTACTATACACATTTTCACTCAATTGAATTTGAATTTGAATTGAGTTCTGAGATAAGATAAGCTGGAGATAATCCGGCACCGTGTTGAAATTTTTTTTTTATTTTATTGGATTTATCTCATTTTTCAGAGGGCGTTGAATCATTGGTTGTTTTTCTGAAAATTTGAAAGCGCCTGAAGATTTCGGAACAAGGAGAAGAAGCTGGGATTTCGAGGTGAGTTTTCTGGGGGGTCTCTAGGTGTCTGGCTTCTCTGCGTCTCTCATTATCTCTGACAGTGTGATTTTTGGATTTGAATGTGATTTGAACTCTGAAATTCTATCGTATCAAATCAGGATTCTTAAAATTCAGTTCGAAAGTCCAAAACTGATTTTTGAATATTTTTTTGATTTTAAAACCGAAATTCTGACTTCTGAAACTCAAATTCTAGAAATTCTCAAATTTTTTTTTTAATTTTTAAAAAACAGTTTGAAAATTTGAATTTTTCAAACTGAATTTCAGATTTCGTCACTTCCAAATTCAGAATCACGTTATTAATTTTTGATGTCTGAAATGCTCAACTTTAGGTAACCGACTTTGTTTTCTGAGCCCCAAATTTTGTTATTTAATATTTCGTAATCTAGAAATTTTCAGATTTTTTTTTCGAAATCACATCACAAATTTGAATTTTTCAGATTTTGTGTATGTAGTTTGAAACCCCGAAAAACCTTTTTCTAAACAGCTGAAACTCGTAGAATAAAAAATCAAACGTGAAATTCCAGAACAACTCTCCTGAACCTCTAGTTTCAGCTTTATTTTCAGACATCAAAAACCTTCCTAGAAAAAATTGATTTTCAGACAAGATTGATTTTCTGAAAATCAAATTTTCTTGTTTATAATATTTTCCGTAGGCGGTTTTTTGTTATTTCACCTGTGGTCAAAAATTGATTTCTAAAAAAATTTTTAAAAAATTCTGAAGAGAAGAAGAAGAAGAAGCAAAATTCAATTTTCTACAAAAATATTTTTGTGACGCATGAAAAATACAAAAATTTGTATTTTTCGTGACGCAAATCGCTTGTTTTTCAGTGGACAATTTAGCAGATCTGCTCAAAAATCTAAGCACTAGACTTTTAGAAGCTTCTAAAGTTTCAGCCAGATTTCAGATATTTTTCAGCTTCATCTAGAGTTCCAGAAGGTTCAGCTAGAATTTCAGAATTTTCTAGACTTTCAGCTGAATATTCAGAAGCTTCAGATAGAGTTTCAGCTTTATCTAAACTTAAAGCTGAATTCCAGAAGTTTCAGGCTTTTTTGAATCTCTCCAGAAGCTTCAGCTAGATCTTCAGAAGCTTCAGCTAGATGTTCAGAAGCTTTAGCTAGAATTTCAGCTTTATCTAGATTTTCAGAAGCTTCAGCTGGATCTTCAGCTTCAACTGAATTTTCAGAAGCTTCATCTAGATTTTCAGAATCTTCAGATCTAGAATTCCAGAATCTTCAGATCTAGAATTCCAGAAGCTTCAGATCTATAATTCCAGAAGCTTCAGCTAGAATTTCAGCTTTATCTAGATTTTCAGCTGAATTTTCAGAAGGTTCAGCTAGATTTTCAGTTTTATCTAGACTTTCAGCTGAATTTTCAGAAGCTTCAGCTAGATTTCCAAAAGCTTCATCTAGAATTCCAAAAGCTTCAGATAGATTTCCAGAATCTCCAGCTTTAACTTTCAGCTTCATCTGAGTTTTCAGAAGCTTCAGATAGATCTTCAGAAGCTTTACCTAGATTTTCAGAAGGTTCAGATAAATCTTCAGCTTCAACTGAATTTCCAGAAGCTCCAGATAAATCTTCAGCTTCATCTAGACTTTCAGAAGCTTCATCTAGATTTCCAGAAGCTTCAGCTCTAGATTTTCAGCTTTATTCTGGATTTTCAGAAGCTTTAAGCTTCATCTGGGGTTTCAGAACCTTCAGCTGGATCTTCAGCTTCAACTGAATATTCAGAAGCTTCAGCTGGAATTTCAGCTTTATCTAGACTTTCAGCTGAATTTTCAGAAGCTTCAGGCTTTTCTGAATCTTCATCAAGACTTTCAGAAGCTTCACCTAGATCTTCAGAAGCTTCACCTAGATTTTCAGAATCTTCAGATCTAGAATTCCAGAATCTTCAGATCTATAATTCCAGAAGCTTCAGCTAGAATTTCAGCTCTATCTAGATTTTCAGCTGAACTTTCAGAAGCTTCAGGCTTTTCTGAATCTTCATCAAGACTTTCAGAAGCTTCATCTAGAATTTCAGCTTTATCTAGATTTTCAGCTCAATAATTAGAATCTTCATCTAGATCTCCCGCTCTAAACTTCCAGCCAAATTCTCAGCTCCACCCACAATTCCACAACTCATTTTCCAGCACCAAAAACACAACAATGGGTTCTTGTAATAGTAGCGAGAATGCGGAAGGCAACGCGCGGAACAAAGAAATCGAGAAGCAATTGAACGCGGACAAGCGGGCCGGTAGTAGTATTGTGAAATTGTTGCTTTTGGGAGCCGGAGAGTGCGGAAAGTCGACGGTTTTGAAACAGATGCAGTGAGTTTTTGAGGGGAAGCGAAGCGGAAGCTTCCGCGAGCGCTTTTGGCGCGAGTGTAGACCGCAAGCTTCCGCGAAGCGGCACTATCTACCGCTTCAGCGGTCACTCCTAAGCCTACATATAGGCTTAACATGGGCCTGAGCTCAGCCTAAGCTCCTGCCTGAGTCTGGGCCTAACTGAGCCTAAATTCGGATGAAAAAGTCTAGGCATCCCAGAATCTAGCCTAAGCTTGTTAGATTTAAGGGCTTATGTGAAGGTGAGAAACTTTATAGCTAACAAAACTTCTAATAAGATTCTGAAGGGCTTCTAGAAATCCTCAAAATCCTCAAATTTGCTTCCAGAATCCTCCACAGCAACGGATTCTCCGAAGAAGAAGTCAACGAGAAACGAGCCATCGTGTTCAACAACACAGTCTCCTCAATGTGCACAATTCTCAAAGCTATGGATGGAACTTTGCATTTGCCTATTGAGGATTCACAATTGGTAAGGGAGAGTTGGGCTAAGTTTCGCGTTAAAAATCTAGAATTTTTTTGCTAAAAATGATCAAACATCTCTGGATTACTCAGAAGTGAAGAAAAACATGTTTTTTGTAGTTTTGTAGAAGGTACAAATGAGTACAGTAGGATTTTCTTAATTAATACAAAAATAGGTAGATTATTTTTTGGATGATCAAAATCCAGAAAGAAAATTGTGCCAGGCTTGCAGAAATCAAGCTCCGCCCACTTTTAACAATACCAAAAAATGTGCCCTAATTGTAAGGTTGCAATTTAGGCCACGCCTCTTTCAAATAAATTGTGCCAGGCTTGCGGAAACCAAGCTCCGCCCACTTTTGAATATCACAAAAAACTGTGCCAGACTTGCAGATATGTAGTTCGACAGATTTTTTGAGAAAAAAACTGTGCCAGACTTGCAGAAATCAAGCTCCGCCTACTTTCGAAGATCCCAAAAACTGTGTCCTAAAATTGCAATTTAGGCCACGCATCTATCAAATAAACTGTGCCAGACTTGCAGAAATCAAGCTCCGCCTACTTTCTAAGATCCAAAAAAATGTGCCCTGAAATTGCAAGTCAAGCAATAAAGCTTCTGACAATTTTCTGCAATCCTCGCACAGTTTTTTTTGCAATTCTAGGGCACAGTTTTCAATCTAGCTCAAATTCCCAAGTACAAAAATAGGCCACGCCCCCTCACAAGAAAACTGTGCCAGACTTGCATTTTTTCCAGAAAGACAAAGCTCTAGTGTTGGCCGTTCAAGAACGTGGAGAAGAATCCGAACCGCTAACCGACGAAGTTTCGCGAGCGATTCAAAATCTATGGGCCGATCCGGCCATCAAAAAAGCATTCGAGATGCGAAGCGAATATCAATTGCCCGACTCGGCGAAATAGTGAGTTTTGTGGGGGGCTTTCGGGCCTAGTTCCGGGCCTAAATAAGGCCTCTTTCGGGCCTGAAGAAGGCCTAAATAAGGCCTCTTTCGGGCCCGGGCCGGCCTAACGAAATCCAAACATCTCTCTTTTGCAGCTTCTTGGACAATTGCGCTCGTATCTCCGAGTCTGGCTATCGGCCAAGTGAACAGGATATACTGTACTCAAGAGTTGCGACAACTGGAGTCGTCGAAGTCAAATTCAAAATCAAGGAGCTGGATTTCAGGTAACTTAGAATTTTTCTAGCTTAATCCACACCCTATTCATCACCATGGAAACATTTTTTCTTGAGAAAAATTATTTTTTTATGGGAAAAAATATACCTGGGGATTATTATGTAGGTTGGAAGATTGCCAAGAGCAAAAACTAAAAATGTGCGATGAAATTGCATTAGGCCACGCCCACTTTTTGAACAGCTTAATAGGGGGAAAACTGTGCCAGACTTGCGAAATCTCAAGCCCCGCCCACTTTCGTGGAGGTTGGAAAATTGCCAAGATGAAAAGTGTGCGATGAAATTGCAGATTTCGGATTAAGCTCCGCCCCTTTTCAATAATCAGAAGAATATGTGCCAGGCTTGCAAGATTCAATTAGGCTCCGCCCACTTTTAAAACTGTGCCAGGCGGATTTTTTTCAAAAAAAAAGGGACCACAAAAATGGAGCAGACACACACATTTTCAGGAATGTGACCATTTTCTGAAAAACCAAGAGGCGTACCATTTTTGTGGTCCCTTCTTCTTCTTCAGAATCTGGTCCCATTCCTCTAAATATACATTTGTGGTCCCTTTTGCAGCTTTCTGGCTCCGTTCTTGTGCTCGGTGCGCAAATATGACGACAAAGCGAGGCGACGCGAACGCGACGTGGCGCGCGGAAGACGCAAGTCGCGATTTTTTCCCTCGCTTGCCGAAATTCGCCGATTTTTTCGCTGGAAATTTGAGGAGCGGAGATATGCGAAATTGGCCAAAATGGGACGACACATTTGTTATCTTACGTTGGTTTTTGAGGGAAAACTGTGCCGCACTTTTTGCAATTTCAGGGAGTTAAGCTCCGCCCATTTTTCTATGTGGCATTTTGGGGCCATTTTTTCGAATTTTATTTTTCATTTAGATGTGCAAAAGTTATCAAAATTTTTGAAAGCATTTAAAAACTTTTTTGGAATTTTTGAAACGTAAAAATCCAGGGTTTTTCAAAATCTCAAACACACAACACGCAACGCAGAACCGCATCGCAACTGACGACATGAGCACCTATACTGTTTTTAAATCCATGTCACTTGACCTACTTTTTTCTGTCTCGCGTGTTTTAAATTCAATAATGAAGAAGAAATCAAAATTTTTGAAAGCTAGAAAATGTTTATGAAATTTTTGAAACGTAAAAATCCCGGTTTCTTGAAATCTCAAAATTTTTTCGGAAGAAAATTGTGTCATAAAATCCACGTGGCTGCGATTGAAAAAAAAACTGTGCCAGGGTTGCAGATAAGCCCCGCCCACTTTTCAACCTGATAAGCACTCTGAAATTCGTCCGAGTGAAAAATTCGTCAAGAAAGTGTGCCGCAATTTTGCAATTTCCAAACTTCAGTGTCTGAAAAACTGTGCCAGACTTGCAAATTAGAATCTCCAAGCTCCGCCCATTTTTTACTAGGTTCAAATGATCAAAGCTCAAAAATACCAATTCGAAAAAAAAACTGTGCCAGGGTTGCAGATAAGCTCCGCCCACTTTTAAACCTGATAAGCAAAGTGTGCCGCAATTTTGCGATTTTAAATCTTTACTGTCTAGAAACTGTGCCAGGGTAGCAGATAAGCTCCGCCCACTTTTCAACCTGATAAGCAAAGTGTGCCGCACTTTTGCAATTGTGAAATGCTAAAGTCTGAAAAACTGTGCCAGAATTGCAAAATAGAATCTTCAAGCTCCGCCCCTTTTTACTAGGAAAAACGGGTTAAAATTATCAAAGCTTCGAAAAAAATTCGACAAAAAAACTGTGCCAGGGTTGCAGATAAGCTCCGCCCCCTAAACTTCCCAAATTTTGTAGAGTATTCGACGTGGGTGGTCAACGATCAGAACGTCGAAAATGGATCCACTGTTTCGACAACGTCGAATCCATCATTTTCATCACCGCCATCTCCGAATACGATCAAGTTTTGTTCGAAGACGAAACAACAAATCGAATGATCGAATCAATGCAATTATTCAATTCAATCTGCAATTCCACGTGGTTCATCTCGACCGCAATGATTTTGTTCATGAATAAGAAGGATTTGTTTATGGAGAAGATTCAGCGAGTTAACATAACTACCGCTTTTCCGGATTATGAGGGAGGACAGAATTATGAGGAGGCTGTTGCGTTTATCAAATCCAAGTTTGCCGAATTGAATTTGAATCCGGATAAAAAGACGATTTATATGCATGAGACTTGTGCCACGGATACTAATCAGGTAAGAATTTTAAAAAAAATCAGAATTTCTAGGATTCCCCAGAATTCCATGAAACATCGGTCAACAATACAAAACTACCAACTAAAATATTTTTGAAGGAAAAAAAATTAACTGATTTTTTGAAACAGGAAAATTTTTTTGAAAAAAATATACCGGAAAATATTGTCCATCCTGACGAATTGAGTTTGTTAGAGCATTATCAAAATTTAATATTTAAAAATATTTTCAAAAAAATTTAATTCATTTTTTGAAACAGTAAATTTTTTCGAAAAAAAAAATTATATCGGGAAATAATATTCAAAACTTAACTGTTTCAAAAATATTATGTTATTTTTTCGATTTTTCGAATGAAAATGATATTCCCCAAGTTTCATCTAAAAATTCAAATTCACAGGATTCGTCCTCTAAATTTTGAAAATTTCAAAACCACAGTACTCTCACCTTTTTGGCTTCAAAATCTACAGTACCCCTAAAATATGTCACTTTTTGTTTTCAAAGTTTTGTCAAAACGAATTATCAAAATTAAATGTTTTGAAAAAAAATTAATTCATTTTTTGAAACAGTAAATTTTTTTCGAAATATTTTCTTAAATTATCAAAATTAAATTTTTTCAAAAGAAATTTTAAAATGTATTTTTTGAAACAGTAAATTTTTTCGAACAAAAATTATACTGTTTCAAAAATATTATGAATTTTTCAATTTTTCGAATTGATATTCACTAAATTTTCCAAATCAAAATTTTATCTAAAATTCCTAAATTTGCAGGTCCAATTGGTCATTTCATCCGTCATCGACACAATTATCCAGAAAAATTTGCAAAAAGCCGGAATGATGTGAAAATTCCAAATTTTCCCTCTTTTTTTTCACTGGAACTTCCTTTTTCCAAAAATTTTTAATTTTTAAATCACATTATTTTTCTCGAAATCGAATCGCATATCAGTATTCCATACCATTTTAGTATTTTCCCCCCTGATTTTTTTATTATTTTCAAAATTTTATTTTTTGTCCCAAGAAAACCCTGTGTTCGTGTGTGTATATCAACAAAAATTCCCTTTTCAAAATTTTATCGATTTTTCTGGATCTCCTTTTTTCTTACTTATCCTAACTTTTTCCCCAATTTTTTTTTCAAAAATATATTTTTATTTTATTGAACGAATGAATGAATACATCAAATCAAAGGGGTACTGTAGATTTTGGCGCCAAAAAGGTGAGAGTACTGTAATTTTGAAAGAGGACGAATGGTGTGAATTTTAATTTTCTAGATGAAACTTCTTAGGAATATCAATTTCATTCGAAAAATCGAAAAAATCATGATATTTTTGAAACAGTGAATTATTTTGAATATTATTTTCCGGTATATTTTTTTTCAAAAAAAATTTACTGTTTCAAAAAATGGATTGAATTTTCCTGTGAATTTGAATTTTAAATGAAAATTTAATTTGGAAATCTTATTGAGCATCAATTTCATTCGAAAAATCGAAAAAATCATAATATTTTTGAAACAGTAATATATTTTAAATATTATTTTCTGGTATATGTATTTTTTTTCGAAAAAATTTACTGTTTCAAAATTCAAAATTCAATTTTCCCCACACTAATTTAACCCCCAAAAACTTCAAAATTCTCTCGAAATTTCCCCAAATCAAAAAATGAATTGCCATCAAGGCCATCGAAATTTGTTGCAAAACTTCGTTTTTTTTTTCGTTCGAACGGCATATATAGTTAAAAAACGGCCACAAGAAGAGAAAAAGAAGAAGAAAAGTAACTAATCTTGATGTGTGTTGGCTAGTACCTGAAGGCACAAAATAAAGAAAAAAAGAAGAACATGTTTTAATTTGATTAGTGTGTGGTTTTGAAACATGGCGAACGGTTTTTGAAAAGAAAAAAAAGAAGATTGATTGATTTTGAGATAAAAATTTGTGAAAATTTCAAATTTTCAGTGGTTTTTGCTGAGTTATGACGTGGCAAACTTGAAAAAGCTGTCAAGGAGCAGCGCCTTAAGGTCTAGCGGCTCCTGTGAAGCAGTGGCCCCTTCTCAACTCAAATTTTCTGGGCTTGGCTACTTGACAACCATATTCAAGGAGCCGTTGCTTGCCTGAACTTCAGTCAAGCCTTGTGAGCTCAAAAATCCAGATTTCGATCAAATTTCACTATTTTCTTGTGATTTTTTAACAAAATTTCAAATTCCCACCCAAAAATCACCGACCTTCATCAAATGCTCTCCGACTTCAAATTTCACAACTCCTGCTCACTTCTCATCCCAATCTCCAAGTTGATTTTCATCCGAAATCGAGCTTCGATGCTGAAAATTTGCAAAAATTCAAGAAAATCCAAAAAAATATGATTTTTCAACGTGAAATGACATTTCCACGAGGCAAAATCAATCATTTCTCAATTCTTCACATCGTAAAAATGTTTTAAAACTGGAATCAAGAAAAAGTGAGTTTTCAAGCCTATTTTAACGATTTTTCCGTCAGAAACTCAAAAAAACGAAAAAAAAAAGAAAATATTTTTCAAAAGTGTGCAAACACGGCGACGCAAACTTGCACTTTCCCGCACTTTTTATTTTTTGAATTTTTTTCATTTTTTGCACCTTCTTCGCCCATTTTCAGTGTTTCTCAGTAATTTTCATTGTTTCAGAGCGAGATTTATGGATTCTACACGAAAAACTCGACTAGAAACATAATGGCCGGCTGAAAATCGCGGATGTTTATGGAGATTTTGGTGAAAATCGCAAATTTATTGGATTTTTGGAATTTGAAAGTGAGTTTTTTTTGCATGGGGCTATGTTTATTTTGATTAGAGACAGCTTGAAATTGATGAAATCTAGAAAGCAATTTAGCTTTTCCAGTAGAAAATAACTACACTCTAGTCTGAAATTTTCAGACTGAAAATCTAAATTTTTTTCCAGATTCAGCTCAAATCAATCAATCGATCAAATTTATGGAATTTGTGTCAAAAATATGTTCTTCAACTACACTCTAGTAACTATACTAGAGTCTAGTTTCAAAGATGTTGTCCAACTCAAATTTTGCTGTTTCAAATTGTTGGTGAGTTTTTTTTTTCAACACATTTTTTTATTTACTGACCCCAGACTGATAAACAAAAAAAAAAATAAACAAGTGCCAGGCTGTGCAAAACATTTTGCAACACTTGAAATTTTTTTATCAACACTACAAAAAAACTTCCAAACCTTTTTTCTCTCTCTCTCTCTAACTATACTCTATTATCTATAATCTATATGAAACAGTGAAAAAAAAATCAAAATCAACAAAAAAAAGAGACGCAGTGAAATCAGAGACAAACACAAACATACAAACAAGTACTGGCCAGCACTCCCAAAATCGGGAAAAAAATCATCGGGAAAATGAACACCGTTCGCTTTTTTTTGTCTCTGTGAGTTTTGAGAGACAGACAAAAAAACACACATTTTTTTGAGAGCTCCACGAGCACAAATTTATTTATTTATTTGTTTTGTCACAGTTTTTTGCTGTTGATTTTTTGGAAATTTCACTCTCGAGTTTCTTTTGGTCACTTTTTTTGTAGAATTTGAGGAAAAACTGCAGTTTTCTGCAATAAAACTGTGCCAGGCTTGCAAATCTGAGAGAATAGGCTCCGCCCATTTTTTTCTGTAGGAAAAAACTGTGCCAGGCTTGCAAATTTTGAACATAAGGCTCCGCCCCTTTTTGGTGAAATATTTGAAGATAAACTGTGCCAGTTTTGCAGTTTTTAAGATAAAAACTGTGCCAGACTTGCAAATCTGTGAGAATAGGCTCCGCCCATTTTTTCTGTTGGAAAAAAGTGTGCCAGACTTGCAAATCTCAGAGAATGAGCTCCGCCCATTTTTTGTGATAAAAAAAAGTGTGCCAGACTTGCAATTTTCTAGAATTTTTCCGCAAGAAAAATCTGTGCCATGCTTGCAAATTTAGGCTCCGCCCACTTTAATATTTTGGAGCTTCAAATCTTTCTAGCAAAAAACGTGCCAGGCTTGCATCTTCCTACCCGAGCCCCGCCCACAAAACCGTGCCGCATCGCAATTTTTCAAAATTCCCTACAGTACACTACTTTTTGCCCTTTTTCTGACTGACCATTCAAAAGTACACAATGTTTCATTCTCCCGAAGCTCCGCCCACTTTTTTTTTCAAAATGTACTATTGGCTGATGTCCGACAGAAAAGTACACATGCCCTTTTCTCTTTTCTCTCCCTCACTTTTCAGTTCCGCCCATTTTCCCACGGTCTTTTGGCTTGGCTACAGTAGTTTTACAAGCCTAAGCCTAGGCTTAGGCTTGAAACTTTTGATTTTTTGTTGCTTTGACCGGTTTTTTTGCATTAGGCAGGCAGGTCAAATTTGTTTGGTTGTTCATTTTGCTTTGAGAAATGCGAAGTGACTTTTTGGATTTACTTTTTTGACTACTTTCGGTTTTTTTGGGCTGGGAAAGTTGGAGGGTTTTGAGGGTTTTTTGGAGCTGAAATTTCAGATTTTCAGAGAGGTTTCTGGAGCTGAAATTTGGGATTTTTGAAGATAATTTTGGGTTCGAGAATTGGAAATTAAGAAGAAAATTTAAAAAGTTTTCTGAATTCTAAAGTTCATGATTCAAAATTCCAAATTTTCAGCTCGAAATTTTGACCCGAAAAATCTCAATTTTTTACCTGAAAATTCGAATTTCTGAAATTTTAACCTGGAAGTTTTAATTTTTGAAACACTGAAATCATCTCATCATTTTTAAAATTCAATTTCTGAATCTCAATTTTTCAGATTCAAAATTTCAGCTATCCGAAGTCTGAATCAAGTTTTCTGAAATTTTAAGCTAGGTTTTGAAGGTCCACAGATTTTCAGCCAAACTTCTTGAAATCTGAAACTGGGCTATCGATCTTCCTAACTCTTCAGAGCTCAAAATGTTCAGTCCAAGTTTCAGATTCAAAAAATCAGTAACCCTCTTCTGATAAGCTAACCTGAAATTTAGAAACTCCAGAATTTCAGTCCACAAATCTAGAAATCTGAAAATTTCTTTCAAATTGGAAATATCAAAGTTCAAATCCAGAACTCTTCAAAAATCTGTCTGAAAATTTCCAGAGCTCAAAATTTTTGGCTCCAAGTTCCCAGAACTCCCAGTTCCCCCCTAAAAATCCAAAATTTCTCATTCATTTTTCATTCATTCTTCCGTTATCCGATCCAAAACCGACACAAACACCTTTCTCTGCGTCTCTCGCACTCCCACGTTCTCTCACTAACTATATGAGAGATGCGCGAAACAGTTTTTGACATAGTTTACACAGTGTGTTTTGGCTGCTGGCGCCCTCGATTCTTCTCGCGCTTCTTTCTAATAGGGTTAGTCTTCGTCTTTTTTTATTTACTATTTGTTACTTGTAGGTTGAGTGGAAGAAAAATGGAGAAGAGAATGTCAAGTCTACCGTAATTTATTTTGATTTTATTTTGTTTCTCAGATAGCTACTTAATTGACATTATTTTGCAAGGGAATCGGGAAAAATTAGGGGAAAGTGAGAAGATTTTTTGGAAACTTTGGAAGCTAGCGGCCTAAGTTAGGCCTTAACTTAGGCCTAGGCCAATGACGCAACCAGCAAAACATAAAACGCATTAAATTTTGACACATGCATGAAAAATCCCATTTTTTATCTGATCAAAACTTTTTTCTTGGTGTTTTTTCGTAACAAAAAAAAGATTTTGCAGTTGGATTGCATAATAATAACAAAATTGAATGAAAAACACAGTTTCGAGAGATTTTTGGGAAGATATGGGATAGTTTGGGAGATTTTCGTGATCTACTCTCAAGCAGCCGAGCCTTAAGAACCTATTTGTCTAGGACCGGCGCCTAGA